ACTGTACCTTTTTCTAATAAATGGTAAACCTTGGAAAACCCATTCGCCAATTCTAGTTACAGTCTTTCTGATGAGTCTATTACTGTAACTGTAACTGTAACTGTAACTGTAACTGTAGCTGTAACTGTAACTGTAGCTGTAACTGTAACTGTAGCTGTAACTGTAACTGTAACGGTAACTGTAACTGTAACTGACTTTTGCTTTAGAAGCCCATAGTTTAACAAAGTTTAACAAAGTAATCATTCAAGACACAGTTTTCGATATTTAATGAATAAATTCACGCATTAAAAGATACTTTTCGAGATAAAGTCGTTGAATTTGAAACGATAATTTGTATCAATCAATCAAAAAAACGAACATTTCCAAAGAATACCAACAACTTTGAAACTTGCAATTTTAAAACAATAAATTACTTCTTAAATCTTTCTCAATCTTGTTTTGATGGTATTTCTTTTAAACATAGTATTTCCTTGTGATCATCCCCCTTTCCTATCAAATGAATCACTCATTTTGATTGATCGACGACACCGATTTTTTCGGAGAATTCTCTATCCAATAAAAAGGGAAAAAAAAGAGAGAAATTTCATTTCAATTTCCATTTCGCAAGAAATTTTTGAAACATTTCTTTTTATCTTGCATTATTATCTTGTATTATCGTATTCTCTCTAATAGTAGTGCACCCTGAGCGTTGCCTAAATTCCTTGAAATCTCGAGAACCGCTTATCAGAACCTATCGATGTGCGGTCGAAAAATGTAGCTGATGATGAGATCTTGTGTGGATTAGAGTGTTGAGCTTCTGCAAAAGCTTGGAAACTGTAAAATCGTCATCAATTCGGCTCACCCGGAAATATTATGGAAATAGATCAGTCTGATCTACTAGCCTAACCTGGAATAACATACTGTCTTCTCTCTAATAGTAGTGTACCCAAAGCTTCGCCTAAATTACTCGAAATCTCGAGAACCGCTTATCAGAACCTATCGATGTGGGGTCGGGAAATGTAGCTGATGATGAGATCTAGTGCAGGATTAGAGTGTTGAATCTCTCCGAAAACTTCGAAACTGTAAAATAGTCATTAACTCGACTCGGCGGGGTGCACTACTATTAGAGAGAATACAGTATTTTATACTCGTTTTCCTCCACTTCATTGTCGCAATTATCGGCGAGGCTAAGGTCAGGAACAAGTCCAGAATTAGGCCAGGCTAAGCCAGGAACAAGGATAGGAATCGGACAGACTAAGCCACGACAAGACCAAAATCAGCCCAAGGTTAAACCATCGTCGATCAGGCCCTGGCTTATTGGGCCAGGCCGGGTCAAGTAAGGTCAAAAAATAATGGCAAGCTATTATATCAGATTAGAATCATGGTATCATTATCAGTGATCAACTCGGCTCAGCGGGGTGCACTACTATTAGAGAGAAACTTGTATTTCTATCTTCTATTATCAGTATCTCGTTCTTGCTTTATGTGAAAGTTTTGATTAATCTTTGCATTTTTTAATTTTAATTGAAACTCATAGTTTAACGTACTATGTACTATGTATGTAACGTACAAAAGCGATAATTTGTACTATGTAGCGTACTAAAGCGATAATTTGTACTATATAACGTATTAAAGCGATAATTTGTACTATGTAACGTACGAAGGCGATAATTTGTACTATGCAACGTACTAAAGCGATAATTTGTGCTATGTAACGTACTAAAGCGATAATTTGTACTATATAACGTTCTTCTCGAGTTTTGCATTTTCTAAAAAGGTACTTAATTATAGAAAACTATCGTACGACACCAATTTTCATTAGATAAGCCCAATTTAAAAAAAATAAAGAATTCATTGAGCCTTTTGATTCCTTGTGAGCAAGTTAAATATCTTCTTTTACAGTTAAATATCTTCTTTTTATTTCATTGTTTCAAATCAGATTGAATCTTTTTTGTTAACAGCGTTTTGTTAGCCAAATTTTGTGACTCAATTTCGCCATAGACTCAACTTAAATGAAGCGTCATTGATGCTGATTGATGCTCAAAACTTTTTGATCGATTTCCGCCTTGCTTTAATGCTTTAATTTGGCTGTATTTTTTGGTACAAATTCGGCATTCTTTTGTAAACCATTGTGACACTTATAGCACACTTAAAATAGCAGCCAAAAAAAAGAATAATAACGGACTTTGAAATCCTCAAAGTTTACGTTATTTATCCAATCATTTATTCGATCATTTATCCAATTATTTATCCAATCATTTATCCAATCCGATCATTTATCCAATCACTTTCTAATTTTCAATATTCTTTGCGAATGTGAAAGGAAATTGAAATCAATCTTCAAGATATTGCTTAATTTTACTCTTTGCAAACTTGTACTAATACTAAATAATAACTTACAATCATTTTACAATCATTTGCACATAGATTAAAGCCATTAGAAAAGATATTAAGACTCAAATTGTTTAAATACATTTGATTGGGCGCCGGCTCACGGAATTCAACAAGATTGGGCGCCGGCTCACGGAATTCAACAAGATTGGGCGCCGGCTCACGGAATTCAACAAGATTGGGCGCCGGCTCACGGAGCCAAAACAACAATTCGCTTTCTCGAAACCAAAATCGGCTCTTTTTTGACGAAGGATCAATGGCCTGCAAACAGCCCGGATCTCAATCCGTTGGACTTTTCGGTTTGGGGTTTTATGGAAGAACAATTGAGAAATAGGAAAATCACCAATTTGAATGATTTACGTCGAGAATTGGATCAAAATCTGGAACGACTTAGATGCAAATTATCTTCGCCGCACCATCGATTCTGTAAAGAAGCGAATTTGAAGCCTGTATCAAAGCGGATGGAGGCCACTTCGAAAATTTCTTGTAATTATTAAATGCTTTTGTTACAACTATTATATAAATCAATATTCTTACATTTTCTTTGAAAGAAAATTAAATTATGGCGTTTTCTTTGCCACCCTGTAGTTCAAATAGTTCATTTTCAGCCACCCTGTAGTTCAAATACTTCAAATACCTCCAATATCTCTAATCTGAATAACCACAAAAGCATTTCCACAACTTTTGGCTGGAATCCAGGCTGACTGGTGGCTGAAAACTTGTCCCCTTCAAAATGTGGTCGTGTTCGGAAAGCAATCCACTTTTTCTCGGCCTCTCTTTTCCTCTTCGCTGTGGGTTGTTCTGGAAGGGGATGAGTTTAAACTCCCCTTGTCCTCTCTTATTGCAAGAAGGCCAAGAAACTAAGAAAAAGGAGTGAAATCGACCATCCCCTTCTTTTTTTTTCTCTCCACTTTTCCGTACACAAAACTTTTCTTTTCTTTTCTTTTCTTCACAAAAACTCTTTTGGAAAATGAGTCAGTCCCGAGGCTCGATTTCTTCGACTCTTTTCTCCTTTTGCCTTCCCGCAAGATTTCATAAACATTAAAGAAACCTTTTTTTCTATACAATAACATTTCTAGGGCTATTTTCGAGTATTTTTGTGATTATATTTGTTTTTGAACGACTTTCATTGAATTCATTGAATTCATTGGATTCATTGAACTCAAGCTTCCGAAAACCGAATTTTAACACCCATTTTAACACATTTACAACCATCCGACCCACTAAGGACTATTTTCGGGATTATTTTTGATGTCAAGCCTTCAATTGAAAGCTTTCACTTTAAAAAGTCGGCTTGCCATTCGTTTTCTAATAAAACCGTGTCTAGATTTCGTTTTTTTTCTATAGTTTATTTGATTTCAAAACAAAGCGCTTGTTGCTCACAGAATCACTAGTGATAGGTGCTCGTTTATTCACACGAATAATGTGATACAAACAATCCACAAGCACAATACAAACAATGCCTAAGTTTTAAACGTAGAGGAAAAGTATAGAAAAAATATGTGCGAAAAAAGAGTTAAAAATCCACACGGTGGGATTGAACCCTTCAGGCCCCGACTTAGATACAAGGCTCTTAGCCAGTCGGCCATGGGGTCAATTTGATCGGGTCGTTTATCTCGGTCATTTATCTCTTTGATGCTCAAAAATTGATAAACACTAACTTTCCGGCATTTTTTTCATTTTCCCCTTGCCAATTGTTGCAAGGAGAATGAAAGAATTAAGTGCACCAGAAAGTTTAAAAATTTTTGAGCGCAAAGTACAAACCCTTAAAAGCGATTGTCATTAGTGTTTCAATGGAAAGAAATGGGTCTTGATTGTAACTTTCATTGAATTCATTGAAATCAAGCTTCCGAAACCCAATTTTAACACATTTACAACCATCCGACCCACTAATGACTATTTTCAGGATTATTTTTCGTGTCATGCCTTCATTTGAAGGATTGCCATGCCTTCATTTGAAAGCTTTCACTTTAAAAAGTCGGCTTGTCATTCGTTTTCTAATAAAACCGTGTCTAGATTTCGTTTTTTCTATAATTTATTTGATTAGCATACTAGCCAACAGCTAGTAGCCAACAGCTAGTAGCCAAGAGCTAGTAGCCAAGAGCTAGTAGCCAACAGCTACTTGACAACAGCTACTTGACAACAGCTACTTGACAACAGCTACTTGACAACAGCTACAATCAAAGCTTATTAAATTGTTTTGTTAAATAAACACACACACACACACAAATTCGCTCAAATCTGATCTGATCTGATTCAGTTTCGCTCGAAAATGTTCGCATTTTAAAGAAAAATTAATTTTCTAACAAAAAAGACCTAATTCTTGAATTAGAAAGGCGATTCAATTTTTAGCATACAAAAATTTGAAACACATTTTTTCTTTACCAGTTTTTCTCTTTCTTCATCTTCACCATTTTCCAATAGTTCATCGAAATCCCATTCTATTTTTTTCCCTTTTTATATAGATTTTGCTAAACTAGCCCCTTTTTGAAAGCGTTTCGATGCATTTGAAAATAAGGAAATTTCTCTTTTCTTGAAAAATTGCTTTTTTCGAAATTTTGCCTTTCGAAATTTGAAACTCTGGAAATAATATCTTAAAAAAACTGAATTTAACATTGAAAATTTTTCAGGAAAAACTCTCGGAAGGCGTCTCAGAGCTAGCACAGGACATCGCACAATCGGAGACTGTGGTAAATGAAAAAAGATTTTTGAAAAGTAATTGAAAATCAAATCGCATTGTTCTCTCAATTTAGCTGCTGATTTGGAACTTAGGGTAGATCAAAAAGTTGAACCTGGACTCGAACCAGGACTCGAACCAGGACTCGAACCAGGACTCGAACCAGGACTCGAACCAGGACTCGAACCAGGACTCGAACCAGGACTCGAACCTGGACTCGAACCTGGACTCGAACCTGGACTCGAACCTGGACTCGAACCTGGACTCGAACCTGACTCGAACCTGGACTCGAACCTGGACTCGAACCTGGACTCGAACCTGGACTCGAACCTGGACTCGAACCTGGACTCGAACCTGGACTCGAACCTGGACTCGAACCTGGACTCGAACCTGGACTCGAACCTGGACTCGAGCCCGCAACCTTTCCGGTCAAACCGGTCAAATGTGCTAACCATTACACCAAAACGCATCTGATCTCCATTACTCCAGAGGGGTTAAGTGCTGTTTAAGTAAAACAATGGTTTACTTAAACAGCGAAATTGTTTAGGTTGTCGAATTTGAAAAGAAAAATACAGCGAAAATTAGAGGAAAATTGTTTTCGAAAAATTTGAGCATTATGCAAAATTTGGCTAAACAAAACAACGCTTTTATTAGAAAATTCAATTTGATTTAAACTTGATGACCAATTTGATGCGATAGTTTTAAAAAATTAAGGAAAAACTTGAATTCAATAAAGTTTTACAGAAAAAAAAACAAGTTCAGAAACACCTTCGTGACGATTTCGATCGAGTGAGTGAGCACCTTTCGGAAGCGTTTGACGATTTGAAAGAAACGCAAAAAGGGAAAATGGTGAGTGAAAGGGAGATACCGTAAATACTGTAATAGTACCCCACCCCCATAATGACGGTGCGGAGCGTTGCGTAGTCTAGCTTTGAACGCGTTTTTCTCGACACTGGTTTATGCTACAATGCGCGCTTAGGTATCAAAAAATAGCCCTGAATTTCAGCTATTTTTTGATATTTAAAAGAGCATTGTAGCTTAAACCAGTGTCGAGAAAAACGCGTTTAAAGCTAGACTACGCAACACTTCGCACCGTCATTTTCTGTAAGATTTGTTGATTTTGATTGTTGTTTAGTGAAAGTATTGATTTTTTTTTTGTATTTTACAGGAGAATTTCCTTGAATCGACCAAAGAAACCCTGCACAACGCGAACGATCAGGCCGAGGTAAGCAAAAGAGAATTTTAATCGACTTTTTCAAGTTTAAACACTCGCTCAAGCAGTTGCTAATTTCTAGTAAATTTGAATTTTGGTTTTGAAAACGAAGAACGATCGCTTGAACCGGCCGCTTGGAGCGCTTGATTTTGGTGTTGATTGAAACAAAAATGAGCAAGATTAGCCTTTAAAAATCGAAAATTTCAGCATGCAGCCGAGAGCTTCGTGGAATCGTTGAAACACGGAGCGGAGACAGCCTCGGAAACGGCTCACGACGTTTACAAGAGTGCTCAGAGCAAGGTAAGTTAATGATTAGATAATTTTATAGAGTGTGACATAGTGTTGTTTTTGTTCTTTCTTTCTTCCTTCCTTTCTTTCTTTCTTTGTTCTTTCGAGTATAAATTCGAATAAATAGGAGGAAAACGAGTATAAAATACTGTATTCTCTCTAATAGTAGTGCACCCCACGGAGCCGAGTTGGTGACTATTTTACGGTTTCCAAGCTTTTGCAGAAGCTCAACACTCTAATCCCCCACTAGATCCCATCGTCAGCTACCTTTTCCGACCCCACATCGATAGGTTCTGATAAGCGGTTCTCGAGATTTCAAGGAAGTTAGGCAACGCTCTTGGTGCACTACTATTAGAGAAAATACGGTAAATGAAGACATCAAATGGCTAAATAATTAGCTGATGCTTTTCCAAAAGAAGTAAACTTTATTTGAAACTCAGTCTTGTAAACTTGGGCTTAAAAGTCAAACAATTTGAGCTTTTTAAACGAGAAATTCTTAAATTATAGATTTATCACTATTTTTTCAGGTTTCCGATGCTGCTGAAGCAGTTTCGACAAAGTTTGAAGAGCTAAGCAGCGATGTGAACGATGTCGAGGTGAGAAATGGGCTTGATTTTATCCCAAATGCCTTATCGATAAAGTTAGCGCAAAATCGAAAGCAAAATTTTTTTTTGTTGTTTTATATTGGTTTAGATTGAAACAAACTTTTCAGAATCATTTGGAAAAAGCAAATTTTTTGTTGTTTAGGACAAATTGGAGAAAGAGGCGACAACACTCGTCGGGGTGGACAAGGACGAATCGGAGGAGGCAAAAGAGGAGGAAAAGGAAGAAATCGCGGTATGTAAGCCTGTAAGCTTAGATACTGTACAATCTAGAGCTGTTTTAGGCTAAAATCGGGTCGAGCACGTGCCTAGACGGCCATCGATTTGCTAGGGCTTTTCCCCAAAGCGTTCTAAAGTCCCAAGTCCAAAGCCAGCTCCTCCCCAGCTCTTCTGGGCCGCGTTTCACCGAAAAACACCAATTTAGCATTTAGTAAAGTTCAATTTTAAGCTCTAGACTTATAAATTTACGCTATCACTTTTATTAGAAATTTTTTGCTGAATATTTTAAACCTAAATATTTTTAAGGGGATTTAATAAAAAGATAGGCTTTAAAGTATATTTATTCGACACGAATAATGAATGAAAACACAATGGAGGAAATTTTTACCCCTAATTACCCCTATTACCGAAATGTTGTTAAGAAAAAAAAACCCATAATAACGGGAAAAAGAAGCAATCCAAAGAACCAAAGAACCAAATTCTAGCCGCCGGGATCGAACCCTTAACCCTAAGGAGAAACACGAAAGAAGACTAGGAGACAAGAAGACTAGGAGACAAGACTGCTGGATAGGACCAGACTCCTGGATAGGACAAGACTCCTGGATAGGACAAGACTCCTGGATAGGACCAGACTCCTGGATAGGAACAGACTCCTGGATAGGAACAGATTCCTGGATAGGAGGAAATTTTGGAGAACAATGGAGGAAATTTTTACCCCTAATTACCCCTATTACCGAAATGTTGTTAAGAAAAAAAAACCCATAATAACGGGAAAAAGAAGCAATCTTTCTAGCCGCCGGGATTGAACCCTTAACCCCCCGACTAGGAGACAAGACTCCTACCGTAAATACTGTAATTGGACCCCATGGGGGTACTATTTTTTCGCTCCCCCTCTAGGGTGGGGTACTATTAGAGGGTGGGGCACTATTAGAGGGGTGGGGTCCAATTACAGTATTTACGGTATCCGGTTGGCTACGACGGCTGTTAGCTTTGCGAAATAAAATGATTATCAAAATTTAACTGAAGCTAGATAAATTTAGCTAAATCGTAGCGTTAACTTTAGCTAAATTTAGCAATTCGTGTAATCTAGGCCCTGGGATTACTGGATCTGGTTTCTGATCCCGTGATCCAGTACCTACCGTAAATACTGTAATAGTACCCCACCCCCATAATGACGATGCGGAGTGTTGCGTAGTCTAGCTTTGAACGAGTTTTTCTCGACACTGGTTTATGCTACAATGCGCGCTTAGGTATCAAAAAATAGCCCTGAATTTCAGCTATTTTTTGATACTAAAGACACATTTTTTGAAAGTACGGGTGCTTTGCAAAAAATGAAATACTAAAAACTAAAAAACTTTTGCGACTACGCGACTGTACAAGGGCGGTGGGGTACTATTACAGTATTTACGGTAAGCACACATGGAAATTCTTTAAATATTACGAAAGAAAACATTTTAAATTCCAGCCGGCAACCGACCTAACCGGACCAGAGCACAAGGAATCGAGCCCGGTTGATTTCACCGACGAGATTGAGGTAAATTTTTGGAAAATTTCCAATAATAGACAGTTTTAATGTTTTCCACTAAAAATTGAAATGTAACCGATTAATAGAATTTAATTTCTAGGAACCAATCCATCAACAAACGCACGTTTCATTGCTGAGCGAACAAGAAGTACACGAAGTCGCCGAGAATCTAGTAAGCTTTTTTTTTTGAGGAAAACTTTAGTTTCAATGTTTTAATCACTTGCATTTTAAAAAGTATTAACTATTTTAGCTTAACAATTGTTACAGAACAACAAAACAAAACAGAACTGTTACAGAACAACAATTTCTAGAAAGAACCATCACCAGAAGAGGAGGAGAAATCGATAGAAGAATCGATCAAAGAAACCGCCCAAGCAGCGCTCGATTACACCGGGGAAAAGGGAGAGCAAATTCATGTGGGTTTGGCTAAGGAAAAACATTATAAAATAATAATAAAACATCAAAAATCTGATAGATTGAAAGAATAGAAATCAAAGATACAAAAATTATAGCCGTTTAGCTTAAAGCAATCCTCTCTCTTAAGCGTTCGAAAATTTCAGGACACCGCCGTTTCGATACTTGACGATTCTGAACAAAAAGTTGAAGAGGTGGGGAGATTTTTAGCTGGATTTTTAGATGGATTTTTAGATGGATTTTTAGCTAGAGTCTTAGCTGGATTTCTAGCTGGATTTCTAGCTGGATTTCTAGCTGGATTTTTAGCTAGATTTTTAGCTAGATTTTTAGCTAGATTTTTAAGTAAAAAATTCAGATTCTTAAGGAAAAGTAACCCTAATTTTACGCATAAACGCAAAATCCCAATTTTCAAAAAACAAATCCAGGTGAAAGAGGACATCATCGAGGTAGTGACCGAGCCTGAGAAAGAGGCCACTCCTGAAGCTTTGGAGGTGATTTTTCAATGAAAAGAATTTTGATTTTCGAAATGAGTTTCATCGACTTTTTAAGGAGAAACACGAAACATCGGAGCCAATCGAAGAAGCGAAACAAAAAGTCGAGGAAATCGTTGAAGAAGTGAAAGAGAAATCCGTGGAGAGTCAGCACTCGATCAGTGAACAGGTCAGGGGAAAGACGATTTGAAGGATTTGAAACATTTTGTTGGAAAAAGAAATAAGATCATTTTAAGAAACAGAAAAGGAAAAAGATCATTTTAAGTTAAATCATTTTGAAATATTCCGTCGAGGAGAAATATTTCATTTTGGAATTTCGCATTGGGGGAGTTGAAATTGACTTCAATTTCACTCGCGAGTTTGCAGAAATTTTTGATGTTGATCAGAAGACAATCGGCAACCATTTGCACAAACTCGGGAATAAAAAATTCGCTATGGAAAATGGGGAGAAAATGGTTGAATTGATGCTGATCTCTATTCAAAACAATTGACAATTTATTTAAAGATGCTTTAAAGAAATTGGTGCTCAATCCATCAAAGATTCAATTTTTGCACAACAAAAAAACGTTTTCAGGTATCCGACGCATGGGAGAGCACGAAAAAAGCAGCCGAAAAAGCGGAAGAGGTGGGGGAATTTGGGAAACAGATTTACAATTAGATTCCACATCGAAAGATATAAAAAGCGAATAGATTGGATAAGAAATAGAGACAAGATTATGGTAAAAAGAGGAAGGAAACACGAAAACTGATTAAAAGTACATTTTTCGATTTTAGTACGCATCGACGTTCACCGAATCGGTCAAAGAGGCCGCCGAGAGTGCTCAAGACAAAGTGAAAGAGGTGAGAAAGGAAAAAAAGAAAAAAGAAAGCAATAAGCAATAATAATTGAAGAAAAAAAACAAAAAGAAACATTTTTTAAACCCAATAATGTTAACAGTTGGGTCTAATTTCTTATGGATTTCTTAGAAACTAAAGTTTTCTCCATTTTCAGTTCTTCCAACCGGCCAAAGAGGAGGAAGTGGTCAAAGAGGTGACACCAGAAGTTCAGGAGACAAAAGGTTGGGGAAAACTTTTGAAATAAATCTACAGGGTGGGCCAAAATTACCGTTACATATAAAAAAAGTCTCTGTATAAAAAGCCACTCAAAAGTCAAAGATTCTTCTTAAAAATAACTTTTATTGTCTCATAACAATTCATAAGAACTATTCTTTTTCAAACAGATCTCCAATAGCTTTTATACAGGCGTCTAAACGTCGTAGAAAAGCGTCGATCGTGGCGAGGAGGTATAGGAGATCCAGCTCCCAAGCCCAGCTCCCAAGCCCAGCTCCCAAGCCCAGCTCTCAAGCCCAGCTCTCAAGCCCAGCTCCCAAGCCCAGCTCCCAAGCCCAGCTCCCAAGCCCAGCTCCCAAGCCCAGCTCCCAAGCCCAGCTCCCAAGCCCAGCTCCCAAGCCCAGCTCTCAAGCCCAGCTCTCAAGCCCAGCTCTCAAGCCCAGCTCTCAAGCCCAGCTCTCAAGCCCAGCTCTCAAGCCCAGCTCTCAAGCCCAGCTCTCAAGCCTTTTCGAACGCTTTTTTCAAACTATCAACAGTTTTGTGTGGTTGATAGCATTTGTGACTTATTTTTCTTGTAGGCCTTTAACTTGAGCTTGTTTTTGATGATTCTTCTAAGGGATGTTCGCTTTGTATCCCCATTTTTTTGTGGCATTTTCCGCACCGATTAGTTTGACGTTTTCAACAGGCGATTCCTCACTTTTTTTTTTGACATTCGCTGAAGTTGTTACCGTTCGCTTTCTTCCATTTCGCTTTCGCATTTGCGCGTGAGTGAGCATTGTAACGGTAATTTTGGCCCACTCTGTATATTTATTGTAAAAACAAAAGAAAAATGTCTTTAATAAGCCATAAGCACGATATAAATTTAAATTTAAATTCAAAACTAAATTCAAAACTAAATTCAAATGTAATTCAAATTTCATTTTCAGTCGTGGAAGAGGTGATCACCACTCCAGCGCACATCGAGCCGTTGGGAGCTGCGAAAGAAGTGGAGGTGAATAGCTTTAGATTTCATATAGATAGATTTCAAACTTTCATAGATTTTCAAAAGATTTTTAAAACCTTCAGGAGGAGAAACCAGCTACGATTGTCGATTCGGTGAAAGAAACAGCATCGAACGCTTGGGAGACGACAAAAGAGGCCACGAATACAGCCGTTGAGAAAACAAAGGAAATCGCGGTGAGTATTTGAAATATTCAAATAAATCTTTAAGTTTCTAAATTTCGAAAGCGATAAAACTTCAAGTATCAAGAATTGCTTCAAGAATTGCTTCAAGAGCTTCAAGAATTGCTTCAAGAATTGCTTCAAGAACGAAAATCTAGACTTCAAAAGCCTCATCAACAATTTTCCAGTCCTCCACCGCCGATGCCGTCTCTTCAGCGGCGCAAATCGTCGTCGACACCACCACCGAAACCACAAAGAAAGCAGCGGTTCGTTTTCAAGTTTTTCTTTCTTTCAAAAATATTCATCCTTTAAGATTCCTGAGCATTTGCTGAGTAAAATCCAAGACAAAAACTAAACTTTTCGAGTTCAATTTGATCCTTTTAAAGGTTAAAACGCTAACTTTTTGGTTTTATATCAATAGAGTCAAAAAAAATTGAAACTATTTAAAAAAAATGGAAACAATTTTATAAATCATCGTGTAGCTTGAAAAAAACTCCCCAAGAATTGTTTCTTTGCATAAAAAAATGGTTGATGACTCAGTTTTCTTCAATGACTTTTGTTTTGAAGTAATTTGAAACTCAACTTTTCAGTTTTTTTCAGTTTCTCGGAAATCCGGGTTTTTTAAAATCAAAATACGAGTCTTTTGAGTCTTTCTGGACAGCTTTCTCACGATGGTGAAAGTCTTTAGAAAAGAAAACTGGACTGGAGAAAACTGAACAGAAAGCTGTCCAGAAAGAAAACCATAGGTGAATTGATGAATTGATAGCTTTTCACAATAAAAGAACTCGTATTTTGTCAAAAGACCCGGACTTCTGAGAAGAACCCAACTTTTCGCTTTCCAAAAGCGACGACTTGCAACAAAAGCAACTTGTATCAATTGTTAAAAGAATAGAAAAGAAAATCACCTATGTTTTTCTTTCTGGTTTTTCTAAAGACTTTGTAATATTTGAAATTCCTTAGAAAAAAAGTACTTATTTCTCTTTGTGATTCAAGGCATCGCCACGTGAGGCGATCGCCGAGGCACGGGACGCATTTTTTGCCGGAAAACCATACGAGTACGCGTGGGGGCAAAAAGAGACAGTGGGTGCAAATGGGTTTAACTAAAAAACAAAACGGAAAGAATTGTTGAAACTTGGGAATTTTATTGGTGAAATAGCTTTTTCTGATCATTTGGCTGGCTATTAAGTAGTGTATTGGCTGGCTGGCTATTAAGGCTGGCTGGCTGGCTGGCTATTAAGGCTGGCTGGCTGGCTGGCTATTAAGGCTGGCTGGCTGGCTGGCTATTAAGGCTGGCTGGCTGGCTGGCTTAATAGCTGGCTATTAAGTATTTTATTGCGGGATTTCTGATAGTGAGCTTAAAAAGTAATATTTTGATACAGTTTTCAAGTAGCTACAGTCGACTCTCTCTATAACGGAATGGAAGGGACCAAAAAATTTTTCCGTTAGATAGAGTGCCGTTAAGTAGAGCTTTAGCGTTGCCAAAATTTCATTGCATTATATAGAGTTTTCCGCTAGTTAAGTTAATAGAAAAGGAATAATAGTTGCAGTGTTTTTTTAAAATCTAAAAATCTTGATTTTAGATGGTATGCTTAAGAATTTGAAACACTCTGTATACATTCGGCAAATGAATAAGTGAACTAGAAGGGGGTGGGACAAATGCGACCTTTTTTTGCTGGAAAAGGCCTTAGGAAAGGTCGTAGAGCTTCGAAAATATTTCCAGATAAGGGAATCGTATGCGTAGATTCCGAATTTCGGCAAATCAGACCTCGCTGACACGTCAAATTTGGGCTAAAAGGCAAAAACTGCGGAAAAGCGTTAAGTTGCGTAGTTTTTGCCTTTTAGCTCAAATTTGACGTGTCAGCGAGGTCTGATTTGTCGAAATTCGGAATCTACGCATACGATTCCCTTATATGGACATATTTTTGAAGCTCTACGACCTTACCTAAGGCCTTTTCCAGCAAAAAAAAAGGTGCGCAAACAAAAAGGTCGCATTTGTCCCATCCCCAACTAGAAAAATAGAAATAGAAATAGAAAAGTCCACAGAATAGAAAATAGAAAATATTGATAATAAAGAAATTTAGAGCGAAAACATAAAGAACAAATAAAAGAAAATAAAGATTAGACCAATCGAAATTTCGAGCTATTTGCAAATTTTGAAACAATAAATCTTTAAGCGACAAAAATCCCAAGTTTCAGCAGTTTCAGCATCATTTCTCTCGGCTAAATCACCCCTTTGTTCCAAGAAATAATCCCCTAACAAACTCTCTCGCAATCTCTAGCCACTTTCATGATATTTATTTTTTATTTAATATTTCGATAACATTTTTGGGCCTATCGCAATAGAGAAATAACCCGATGTTAAAGAAAAATCCTTGGTTTCAGCCGGCTTTTGTAATCATTTCCGAAATAACATTTTCCCGTCTATCAAATGTGCCTGGTAGATTAGCTTAAACTCGTTTTTGTTTAAAAAAAAATACTGTAAAGTTAAAGTCTTTTGGGGGTAGGCTAGTTTCCGCAACTTTTTTGCGCAACAGGGTCATTTGCGCAACAGGGTCGTTTGCGCAACTCACCATAACTTTCTTCTAAGTTGGTCAATCTTTATGATTTTGGTGTCATTTTGTAGATCTCAATAAGTGCAACAAAATGAAACCAAAATCATAAAGATTGGCCCGCTTAGAAGAAAGTTATGGCAAGTTGCGCAAAATCAAAAGCAAACAAGCTAATTGCCAATTGGTTATCTAAAATTTTTTTTTTTTTTTTTTTTTTTTTCCCTCTCTTTTTTTTAAAACCCCCCTTTTTTTCAAAAAAAACAAGGGCTTAATTCAACCAAAAACTACGGCGAGTCGCTACTTTGCGCCAAATTTTTGCCTTGTCAATGGCAACTACAGTCACTCGCTTGCTGTTTGTCTGATTTTTTGCGCAACTCGCCATAACTTTCTTCTAAGTGGGCCAATCTTTATGATTTTGATGGCATTTTGTTACACTTGTTGAGATCTACAAAATGACACCAAAATCATAAAGATTGACCAACTTAGAAGAAAGTTATGGTGAGTTGCGCAAATGACCCAGTTGCGCAAATGACCCTGTTGCGGAAAAAAAGTTGCGGAAACTAGCCTACCCCGTCTTTTGTCGAAGTACGGTAAAAGTATTCAGTTGTCAAGACTGAATATCTTAAATTGACTAATCTAAAAGAGATTCAGTTTTAAGCTGACTACTTTTTTTTGCGGCACTTTTAGTGTGATGAAAGACTGAGATTTTTCAGTATTTTTTTGGTGCTTTTTGAAAATTCATTTTAAATTTCAGGAAACCGTCTCTTCAGCAGCAAACACTGTCGTTGAGAAGACCGAACACGTTGTGGTGAGTTTTAAAGATTGACAAATAGACAATCAAAACCATCAAAACCATCAAAAACCATCAAAATACCCCAAAAGCGACTTGTCTCCTTGATTTACTTTCATTGAAAAGACAAGGAGTTGATCGTTTTTGGCCGTTTTTGCGCAATTTACCTTTGATTTTCACAGGATTGACTAATCCAATCGACTTCTATCACGCAAAAACCTGGCGTGCTCTCTTTAAAACAATATAAAAGCTAACAATATAACAGTTAACAATATAAAAGTTAAAAGTTATCTTAAAACAAAGTTAGGACCTTTCAAAGCTTGCCTACTCATTCAAAAGTGATTGTGAGACATTTGAGACAAACCCCGCCCCTTTGCCATTGACAATCTAACTTTGAGCTCAAATTTCTTGGTGTTGAGCTGTTGAATTTAAATAGTTTTTGTACCAATCGACAGAGAAAGACTTGGTACATTTAATGATACCAAGAATGTTTAAATTGGACAGCCCAGCACGAAGATATTTGAGCTCAAAGTTGCTCAAAGTTGAACAACAACTTTCTCAACAACTTTTTAAGAGTTGGAATAAAGAGCTCACTAATGACCCCACTCAAGCAAATCAACAGCAAATGCACCAATGTCAGCAGCTATTCCCCTTGATTCCCCTTCAGAAAAATCATTGACCTTTCTAATGAAATAAACCGTAGTTTAATTGGTGGATTTATTGGTTTTAAACGGAAGTATGAAAAGGAATGAAAAGACTTTCTGGACAACCTAATAATCCTTTTCATCCAAAATGTCCATTTCTAAGCTAAATTTCATAGATATTTATTGATAAATTAGTTTTGGGCTTTAAAAAAACCAGTTTCTTTTTGAGCATGAGCAGCCGAAAGCAAAAGCTGAGCCACCACCTTAGTTCCGGCTTCTTCGTGATTTTTTCTTGTGCAAGTTCCGAGAAAAAGCGAACTGCGCAATTATGCAAGCAGTTTTATATTTTAAAAGCTTATTGTCACTATTTATTTTAGTATTACTTAGCAATTTCCAGTCCTCGGCAGCTGGCGTCGTGAGAGATGTGGCCAGGGACACGGCCACAGCCGCTGACAAAGTCGCCACGAAAGTGGAAAAGGTTTGTCTCGAATGGGGCAAGGGTTTCGTTTTACGAATCGAATCCACAGATGAAATAGACGAAATTTGGCTTTTTATAGGATTTCCCTTCAGCTTTTGTTCAAAAGAACTTATTCAAAATTCAAAGCCAAACACTTTCAGCAAGTCGCCCCAGCATCGCCTCCGCAGCCGAGTGCAGAGGTGAGAAAAGTCGTTGAACTTTTAGAATGATAAATAGAAACTAATGATATTGGAAACATATTGGAACCATATTGGAACCATATTGGAACCATATTGGAAACATATTGGAACCATATTGGAACCTTATTGGAACCATATTGGAACCTTATTGGAACCATATTGGAACCATATTGGAACCATATTGGAACCATATTGGAACCATATTGGAACCATATTGGAACCATATTGGAACCTTATTGGAACCATATTGGAACCATATTGGAACCTTATTGGAACCATATTGGAACCATATTGGAACCATATTGGAACCATATTGGAACCATATTGGAACATATTGGAACCATATTGGAACCTTATTGGAACCATATTGGAACCTTATTGGAAACATATTGGAACCATATTGGAACCATATTGGAAACATATTGGAACCATATTGGAACCTTATTGGAACCTTATTGGAAACATATTGGAACCATATTGAAACCATATTGGAACCATAAATAAATAGATAAATAGAAACTAATGATAAATAAATACTAATAATAGATCTTATTCATTTCTTATTGAAGAATATGCAAGTTTTAAATAAAACCAGTGAAATATTTTAGGCAAACCCAGCTCCAGCTCCAGCTCCAAAGAGAAAATGCACAATTCTCTAAATTTTATCTCAAAATCCATTTCTAAAATTTCTATAATTTCTATAATTTATAGAAAATTGCCTTTCAGAAATTTTTTGTTTTTTTTCTAAAAAGTCATTAATTTTTTTCATTTTTCAGTGAATATCTAGTTTTCTCTGATTTATTTTTGAAGCGCTCATCGATTTTCTGCCGTTTTTTCATTCGTTTTTCTAAGGCTCAACAAATTTTGAGATGATTTTTTTTCCTGAGAAAAGTATGAAATTGAAATTTGGTCGTCTATTTGAATAAACGATTTTGTTTTGATTGGGAAATTGCAGACGAAATTGCCGACGCACGACGTCGCATTTCAATTGACGTGATCAGATCTGATTTGAGCATTGAAAGATTTTGAGGCTTTTTCAAAGCATTCAAAGCAATTTTGAGGATTTTTCAAACTTTCAGAGATTTAAATCCTGCACACTTCTGCTTTTGATATGATTAACGTTCTCAAACCCCGACGAATTTGAAACAAAGATTATTTTTGCAGTAAAAAATGTTTAAAACACGACTTTTTCTTGGAAACGATCACCACAGAAACCTCGATGAACAGGTGGAAAATTTGGAAAATTTGGAAAATTTGACTTTTCCCTGAAGCTACGAGGAAGTCAAATTCACCTTTTACAAACACTTATAATATCGAATTGTCTATTCTGAAATGAATTTCAATATAATCGTTTCTGTAATCTATTATTTTTCATCAATTGTTGGAATTTTTGTGAACACTTTGTTAGTGACAGCGATTTTGACAAAGAGCCCCAGAGAGCTGCGATATTTTCGGGTAAACAAGGAGAATTTATTACTCAAATGAAAAATCACTATTTCGTCAACAATTCAAAAAGTTTAACTTTTAAAATATCGAGTTTAAAATAGGTTTTTATTTGAATAAAATTTTAAAGAAATAATTGAAGTTTCAATTTCAATGATTTCTAGGAAGGCTGCTTAGATTTAATCGTACTTTGGGTAATACAGAGCGCGTCGAAATGATAGGTCCACCCGATTTCTCAAAAACAAAAGCTCAATCAAAATCCATATTTGCACATGAATTTTAATTTGATTCTTGATAAATATTCAAAAGTTGAAAAAAGTTTTTTATCGATAAAATTTTTGAGTATTTTTGGCAAACTCAAAAATTGATACAAAAACCGCATCAAAATGATAAGTCGATCACTTTATGCGCTTAATGCCTTGCCACTTTCTCGCTGATTTTTTTCTTTTATTTTTTCTTTTTTTGCGTGCAAATTTTATTTTTCTACATATTCTAACTCTTTCCTTTAGAATGGGTCGAGGAAATGCGTTGACGCTGGTGGAGTAGGGACAAGTTGACGTCCTAGACGCAAATGGACTCAGCAATCGCAAAATTGCCGAACAACTTGGTCGCTCGCACAACGTCATCAATCAATACCTTCAAAATTCACTGAATTATGGAACTAAGAAGACGACTGGACGGAAGCCGATTTTGACACCCCGAGACAAACGCCATATCGGACGAATTGTGTCGAACTCAATGATGTCAGCCAACGAAGTACGAAACGGAATCGGTCTATCGGCATCGAAAAGCACAGTTTTGAGGACTATTACTGCAACTCCGCACATCAAGCGATGCAAAATGGTACCGTGTCCTCGTCTAACCGGTGACCACAAAGTTGCTCGAGCCGAGTTTGCACGCAAGAATTTAAAGGTCGATTGGAGTAAGGTGAACATTGAGTAATAGTCAGTAACAATAAAGTTTTTTTGGTTTAGACTATCTTCAGCGACGAAAAAAAGTTCAATCTTGATGGTCCCGATGGTAGCAAGTATTATTGGCACGATCTTCGCAAAGAACCACAATACTTTGGGCGTCGGAATTTCGGAGGAGGCAGCCTAATGGTCTGGGGAGCATTTACGACCGGTGGTGTCCTCGAATTGAAGTTTGTCTCTTGTCGAATGAACTCGAAGGATTAACAGGATGTGTTATCGGATCGTTTGCTACCGTTTTTGCTTAGCAATCAAGGACAATGCTATCGATTCCAGCAGGAAAACGCGTCGATTCACGTCAGCAGATTAACAAAAGACTACTTTACGCAGAATCACATCGATGTCCTGGACGGCCTGCATGTTCGCCCGACTTGAACCCGATGGAAAATTTATGGGCAATACTTGTACGCAAAGTTTATGCAAACGGACAAACATACAAGTCAGTTTCCGAGCTCAAAACACAATTAATTCTTTCATGGCGGTCGATCCTGCCCACGACTCTTCAAAAACTAGCTGACTCGATGGATAATCGTATTCTGGACGTGGTCACACTTAAAGGAGGACCTACAAAGTATTGACCGTAGTGATAAAGTAATGATAAAACCTATTTTCATTCAGTTTTTAACAATTTTTGTTCTTTTTATAAAGTTTTTAATGAGACCTATCATTTTGATGCGATTTTTGTCTCAATTTTTGAGTTTGCCAAAAATACTCAAAAATTTTATCGATAAAAAACTTTTTTCAACTTTTGAATATTTATCAAGAATCAAATTAAAATTCATGTGCAAATATGGATTTTGATTTTGCTTGATAGTTTTTGAGAAATCGGGTGGACCTATCATTTTGATCTGTAGTTGGCGAGCTATTGTCGAGCGATTTTTTTTACAGATTGCTCTCATTGACACGACGATAAGCCAATTGATCGCCTCGATCACCTCTCTGCTCACTCAGACTCGGTATCATTATAATAAGAAAAGTTTTATATTCCTTTTATGGCTCGTTCGAAAAGGCTCAAATACATCAATATCGTCTTTTTGAGAACGCTTTTATACATTTCAGACTAGATTATTGATATACTTTAGAAATTAACCCATATGCTTATACATTTACGTTTATTCTGATATCGATAACCTTAAAATAAGCTCTAATCAGCTATCAAAGCTGTTAAATTGTATGTTAGCAAACTGACAGTTTTTTTAAAAACATTAAAGTTTCAAATTTATTGGATTTGATGCTGCAAAAAAAGAAAATAATGGTCGTGAATAAAAATTGATACCTAACTATGTAAAAAGGGATTTTAGCATAAAATCTCTTTAGCAATTTGTCAAAAAACTAAATGAAAAGGGGATAAATGGCAGAGTCCCAATGGTCGCCATGGCCCAGTGGCTAGGAGCTCTGTAGCGTAGTCGGCCATGGCCCAGGTGACCGCCATGGCCCAGGTCAAGAGTTCAAGCCCACCAGCTAGATGGCTAGTTTTTTTCCTAAGCATTTAGAGCTTAGGGCTGCATGTGTATTGTTTGTATCACATTATTCGTGTGAATAAATGTATTTTTTTAAACTTTAGTATCATTCCCGTTGGGCACAGCTTGGGGATCGTTTACTTGGGCCCATGTGCCAACATTTCGCTCGGCTTTTGCCATGCGGCTTTCGCGGTGACGCTAGCTTCGATAAAGGTTGTTTGCATGAGGAAAAAGAGGTGTTGAAGAGCAAAAGCTGGGATAAAGCTTGTTGCCTCAAAGATAAACTCAAAGGGTTTAAAATCGCCTTCTGGCCAGCAAAGTTTGCTGCCGTAAAAAGCTTGTAAAAAGCTTAAAAAACAACAACAATCAAAAATTATCGCCTCTCTCCGTTCTCAAGACCGTTAAAGTTGATTTAACGGTCTTGAGGAAAGAGAGAAGCGATAATTTTTGATTGTTGTTGTTGTTGTTGATTTTGTTGATTACTTGTTCATTTATTTAACCGTTTAAAACTCGTTTAAAAGCAACAAAAAGCCTATTTAAAAAGAATGAAAAATGAAAGGAAGGAAGATTTGTTATTGTTTTGATACTAATATTGAAAATATTCTTGAAAATATTCCACTTTTGGCATAAAAACCCAACTCCAAAGCTTGATACATAGAAAGCGAGTATATCATTTGGAATAGGCTTTAGAAAACGATTCAAAAACTGAATCGAAATTGAATCGATCGAAAATCTTCAAGTTTTAGTTGAGCCACTTCTAGAAAACAATCCGGTTTAAATCAAATATTTGAGAAAAAAATAAGTAAAACAAAATTGCATACAGTCCAAGCATTCTGCTCGTTGGTAATTCTTGAAATTTCCATATTTTCAGAACGGTTTACTGTCGATTTCATTCTCGATGACGTGTCGCTATCTGATTTTGCGGGGATACAAACTAAAGTAGTTTTTGCTCTAATCAATTACAAGAACCCTTAAAAAGAGAAGGATGACCGAACTTCAAATCTCTTATCAATCTCTATCCGTTATCAGTTTTTTGACCAGAGAATAAGGAAATCTTTAAAAAGCAACCTCAAGTCAGAACGCATTGTTCTCTCGGTTTAGCTGCTGTTTAGGAAACACAATGGTTTAACAGAGTGTAGAAATTGAAACAAAAAGTACAGCCAAAATTAGGGCAAAAATTGATCCCAAGAATTTGGCGCATAGCGACGCCCAAAACGGTAAAACCGGCTCGGTCGCTCATCGCACATTCCCCTTTACGGATTCAGCAAGGGAAGCACCCTATACCCGACAGCTATGCCAGACGGCGAGCGATTACGAAAGGTGGCAGGAAAATGAACATGCCCGAAAACCGCAGGATGCAAATTTACAGCTGAATATCTTCTTTCTGTACCATCTACAAAGCAAAAGAGAAATCCCGATGTAAATGACTGGCGAGGTGTTCTTCGTGCGACCGCGTAATCGCTCGTCGTCTGGCCTACGTTTTGGGTATAAGGTGCTTCCCTTTTGGCATCGATAAAGCGGTGAAGGAGCGATGAAAGACTGAGCCGGGCTCTCCGCTTTGGCTACGCCACTATGTCTAAATGTTTGAGATCGATTTTTACCTTAAATTTGGCTGAATTTCTCTACAAAGTGTAGTCAAGTTCGGCCGGAGCTGGCCGGTTAAAAATGGACCTTCATCACTGAACCGTTCTCTTTTTTCAAAACCACTTTTCAGTTCCTCCTTGTTTTTGATTGCCTTTCAAAAATCTCCCCATTGATAATAAATAAATAAATATAGATAAAAGATTTGAAGTTAAATCATCATTTTCTTTTTAAGTTTAAGTCTTCTTTAAGTCTTTTTAATCTCTTTAATATCTTGAATCTTTTTAATCATCTTTTTTTAAGTTCTAATTGAATAGAGCCATAGTTTTTATACAATATTTTGCTCAAATTCCGATTCAGATATTTCGGCATTGGTTTCATGTGCTTTTTGGTCGGTTTGGTGCCGATGCTAATTTTGGTAAGTATAAAATGACGTAGAGTTCGATTAAATTCGACAATGCGAAGGGATAACCCTCACTTTTGAAACTAGCTATTTTCGATCAGTATTTCGATCATTGATAAATCTATTCCAAGATTCAAACAAAAATTGAACAAATTTTCAGAGTTGTGTCCTTTCTCTGCACCGCGATCTTGAAGTATCAGTGGCAAAAATACGAGTTCAATATCCAGATTATAATGTGGATGAGTGGCTGCTTGAGAGTGAGTGCTTTCAATAGCTGTTTCCCGCGTTACTTTTTATCGTTTAAGCTTTTCAATTTTCAGATCGTTTCGAAGGAATGGCTGATGTGCTCAATCCAGCGGCGATCATCCTTTTAGCATGTAAGAATTGATAAAAAAAATCGCAAATCTTCGATGTTTAGGTGCAATCATTCCAAACATTCCCAGTGTCACTTTTATGTTCATTTCGCGGCAAAGAATTCTAAAAATTCTCGAGAAAGAAGAGCTTTGTAAGGTGACAAAAGAAGGACTGCGAATGTTGGTTAAGGTGAGTGGGGAATGTTTTTGTTTCAAGTTTAAGGGAGTCCCATCACCGGAAGCGAACTTGAGTTGCCATCTAACGTTGCCTTTTCTCATAAACTTTTAAGTTTCGAGTTAAACATCTAATAGATAGTTAAGGAATATATTATTTAAATTATCCAAACTCTTATACGTATTGGATTCAGATGTTGATTAGCCATAAAATGAGGAGCTGAGCAAACTAAGAAACAATGTTTCAAATTTAAGTATTACCTGCCAGAGTGGGTAAAGCCAGTGTCCAGCCATTCTCTCGGGACCGCAAAATGGAATCGCTATAACGAGAAAATCGTTGTATCGAGATTCGGTTTTTCCTGTGTACCGTAAATATTCTAAAAGAAGCACCCTAGAAATGGGCAAATTTTGAGACGAGTCGAGAGACAGCTAAGGAAAATCACGAAACAGCTAAGAAAGCTCGACTCGGGTCATTTTTGCTAAAAAGTGACTCAACTCGACTACTTTTTTGAGTTTTTTTATAATGGACTCGACTCGACCCAAAAATAAGCGACGAGTCACGGAGAATTCGAGAGAAAACTCGACTCGACTGAAATAAAGAGCCGAGTTACCCCAATGTCTAAAGCAGGAGCCCTTTAGGAGCGTCGCGTAGTCAAAGTTGACTCTTAAACAAACGCTTATATCTCAGCACTAATACGTTTGTTTCTGCGCGCTTAGGTATCAAATTAAAGTAGAAAGAATGGGTGATTTTTCGAGATAAAAAAAAAATATTATTAGCATTAATCAACACTTAGAAAGAAATGATTGAAAAATGATGAAAACACGGCTTTTTTGAGACTTTTCAATCATTTTGTTCTAAGCGCTGGTTAATGCTAGAAATGTGTTATAACTCAAAAAATCACCCATTTTCTCTACTTTAATTTGATACCAAAGCGCAGAAAAACAAAAGTACTAATGTCGAGTTATGAGCGCTTGTTTGAGAGTAAACTTTGACTACGCGACGCTCCTGAAGGGTGGTGCTTTCATTAGAATATTTACGGTATTTTACAATGACAACTTAAGATTATAACAACAAACAATAACAATACCAAATGTTAGTTTTGAGTTTAAAAACGGAGGCGCCAAAAAAAAAGAAAGACTTATTTCAAGGTAGCCAACAACTCATCTCTGGGCAAAATTTTACTAGTAAAGCTTCTGCTTCTGCATAAACAAAAACTCAATTTCATTTTCTATTTAGCCACTTTGTAAAGCTGCCCTTAGTTCGTAGAATAGGTCAATATTGAAAATATTTTGGGTGAAAAATTTATTCCAGAGTCTCACCATGCAAATTCTGATCCCGTTGAGTCTCTGCTCGTTGCCGGTATTTTTGTACATGGGAGTGCAATTCTCAGGGAAACAGGTAAATGAAAATGTTTTAAAAGCCATAAAAAAAGGATTTACTGCTTTTTAGAAGATAATAAATTGCATTTGGTTCAAGTTTTCTTGGAGGTGTTCTTTAGAAAAGCTATCGTAACCCGGGTTATCTACCATAAAAGGCTATAGTTATCTGGTCTGGTTTAGTGGTACTAATTAAATTATAGCTTCCATTCAAATTCCTCATTGACCGGGACCCTTGAACAGGTAGACGAGCATTTAGATTTTAAAAAGCGGCAAGAGTACGGTAGCTTTTCTAGGAAAATCTTTTAGAAAATTAACATTAACATTAACACAGCCCATTTTCCAGCTCACATTCCTCGAATATCTTATTTTTGTGCTCATTTGTCTACCCCCGGCAATCAATCCTTTCATCACTCTCTATATTATGGCTCCATACAAGAAAGCGGCAAAGGTTGAATGAGATAGAAAGGATTTCAACTTGTCAAACAAATCCCCAATTTAGAGGATATTGTTGAATTGTTTGTTGAGAAAATGGAGACGATCAAATCGAGCATCACAGAGAGAAGCTACGATTATTATAGGTTGAAATTTTTACATTAATAATTTGACGTGCCTGCCGCTAAAGTTAGCGTTGGTTACGGTAGAAAAGTTGACAAACTTGCATCAATCTAAATATATTTTCAAAATTTAACCCAATGCCTGGTTTAGAAGTGCTTTCCCCAAAACGGATCACCAACGGAAAGTTAGTAAAAGTGCCAATAAAATGATTGTTTCATCATCAGCAAAAATGATTGATAGTTGTTCATTTAATACCATAAAGTACAGGTTTACACAAACATTGGTCCGCAGGTACCCAAAAGAACAAAGAAATCGAAAAGAAAGTGAATTCATATTAAAGCTAAGGGAACGATTGAATTTAATGCAAATGATGGAAATTATCACAGAAAAAGCCTAATAGAAGAGGCACTTTTTGGGGGTGAAATCACAAGACAGCAAAAAAAATAGAGGCAAAAAGGAAAAGGAACACAATTACAAGGGATACAATGGCCTTATTAATACTTACAGAGTCTCAGAAATATGATGCCTGATGATTAGATAAATCAAGAATTCCCACAAGTTGCATATAGATTTAATGAGTACTTGATATATCTAGATTCCTAGAGGAGTTGTTGCCCAAATTCGTGTAGATCCGGCGGAAGTAAGGCTTTGAAGAGGTTGTCGAACATCTTCAACGCGTTTGGTAGTGTTGAGGGAATCGATCGAGAAAGCCACACGTGTTGAAATTGAGTGCGAATAGAGAGCAATCTAAAAAGGCAAACATCGAAATCGTTTTGATAATTTTATTAGTGTTATCAAGGTTTCTATTAAAGCTCACTAAAAGTAAGCCATTTTCATTGCTTAGGCAGGTACAAACTTCACTTACGTATTTGCCAAATCGGTTCGAATCGTTAACGGTAGATGAGAAACACCAACTCTTCCATGCGGAGCCATATGCGCAGCTGACCAGGGTCCTTCATTTGAGCGCTAAATTAAAATGTTTTATGACCCGAACGGGTTTTAAAACTAATTGTAAGTTGATTTGCTTATATAATACACAACACGAATAATTTAACCAACTCTTCTTTCAGCTTCATTCGCATAATTGTTGTTGACGCTGTGAATGCACAAAGATTGACCCAGCCTAAAAAATATGTCTCTAGTTTCAAATAGCAAACACTCATACCGCGATGCCAAACTCAACAACTCTGTCACCAGACGAATTTCCGCCAAAACAAGAGCCAGCTCAAAGTTGTAGGGCAAAGATTTTCGCGCTTCATCGAGAGCCCGGGCGCTCTTTCTCAACTCCATGCGAGCCCGCTAAATAAAGGAAATTCATTAAACTTTAGGAAATGAGGTACCTTAAATATTGCTGGTGTCAATCGATCAAGCTGCAGATTCTCCGGATTTAGAATCATTTCGAGAAACACGGATATTGCCATTTTTCCTTTGAGTAGTAACTAAATATCATGTATTCAAGTTATACAAAATTTCTAACATCATCCTTTAATAAAGCATCGGGGTCAGGCGATGATGGTTGAGGCTTCCATAAGCCAAGGTTGTATCTAAAACGTTATATCAAAGAAGGAAGATTTTCCAAGAAACCTCGTTAAAGTATGCTCCACTTTACCAAGAGTTGATGCTTGTTCAAACAATGGAGCCATGTCACTGGAAAACCAAATTTGAATTGAAAATTTCTCAAGTACTCACCCATCAAGTAAGAAATGATGGGCCGTGATTGCGGGTAAGAAAAAGGCAAACTTCCGCATATCTGTCTAGATTTTGAATGCGTTACGTAGAATGAAAGATATTTGGATACCTGTGCATTCCAGCTGACTCCAACTGCAGCCAACAGTGGCATGTAGGACCTAAAATCGTTCTGTGAACAAAAAACGTAAAGGAAGGTCTTAAATTTATAAACATACAAAATCTGTATAACTTACAACGAGGGTGGCATAATTTCACAACCGGTTGACAGTTCGCAAATCATATTTCCTATCAAAGGTTAGATTTACAAAAAGTTCTATTATACTCACCCAAAATTTGGCTTCTATCCACGAGTTTTGCAGCCAAAAGTGCTTTTTTAGCTGTTGAATCGGGTGCAGCACACAAATGTCCTTCATCTCCAACGGAGAACTAAAGAAATTCATGTTTTGTTAATTTAAACTTTTTTACCTTTAAGACGAGAGAAACACGGGGTGATAGCAGTTTTTCGGCATCAAATGGAAATTTTCCATCGACACACAATGTGACATACGGAGGAACTTTTGACAGCTGAAAAGAAGACTTTAAATTTAAAATTCGAAAAACATACATGTGATGCATTTTTCTCGTCGACATTCACAGAGAGGAAGATATGCCGGACTCGTCGTTGTACAGATGCAAGAACCGGTCGATGAGCTACCTTAAAAAAGCTTTCTGTGATTCGGTACTAAATCTTACAAGAATCGAGGCCAAGTTGGGTCCAAAATGAGCAGTGTCTGATAGTGGGAAATCATCAAGAAAATGATCTAAATTGCACAACTTTTGATAATGTAATCTAACGAATTTGAAACAAACCTATGATCTGACGAGCTGCACTAGCATCAATGTAAGACGATTGAAGATCCAGTGAAGGTACTAACTAAAACTTTTGATAAAAACTACGCGGTTTTTTGTAACCTTTATGAACAGCTCATCGCAAACTTGTAGCATGTGGAATAAATCTCGATTCGTGTATGGCAGCTGATAACGATCGGTGGTACGCACCTAAAACACATAGATCCAAAACAACAGATCGCTAAGCATACCTCAAAATTCACAAACAGGTAGTTAGCTTTGCAGTAGCTCAAGCGTGTGGCCATTTGTAGAATCTTAACAAAATACAATGATAACAACAACTTTGCTTAAAATTAACTGTTTCCGTGTTGAGAATCCGACAGCCGCTGAAATCTTGATACACAGCTCGGAAGGTCCTTGATGGAGAATCTCGGGCAACCAAAGCCGGAATGTCGCCTGAAGTGAGGGCGTCCGGGATTTCTGTCGTCGAATTGAGTGAACTAAAGGAAGGTTTGCTTGACAATTATCAAAGCAATTTTGGATTGTTTTTTTAGAAAAGTCAAAAATACCCATTGAGAGATCCATTAGATGCTGGCGATGTTAGAGTGCTTCCATTTAGAGAACCATTTTGCCCTTTAGTCTGACCATGTTTGTGCGCATACCTAAATTTCTTAGAATTCACTTCCAAAATTTTATCTAACATGTGAATTCGAATTATTTGCACCAAAGTCGCGAATCCATATCGTACACCAGCATAATCGGTAGCCTGAAAACGTGCTTAAACCCACAAAAAAAGAAAAAGAAACCTGTATCTCGATGCCATTGTTCTCAATGGATAGACAATAGGAACCGGTTGGGCGGCCGTCGTTGTACACTCCACAAGTAACTTTCCCATCGAGTGGAGAATGTTCGTGATCAGCTGTCTGGAAAGAGTATTTCTTGAGAAAATCATCTAGATGCCATTAAAATATTGATTTGGTAGAATAGATTAGTTAGATAATACCTTGTGCCCTCGATACTCCAACTCGATGCTACACGACTGCAATAAAGGAGCGCTGATTTGAATGGCCTGCATCATTTGTCGTGGTTCCCCTTCAGAAGCGTCATCAAAATAGATTTTTAATCTAAATAAATCAATTTGCTTACTATTTAAGAATTCTACCGTCCATCCTTTGGAACTTGAAACGGTCGATGACTCGAGAAAATTCGCAGTTGAGTGGGTTGAGGCCACAAAAGATCAGTCCAAGAGTCAAGTTTGCCGGGCGAGAAAGAGGGCCTGAAGCTAAATTCATTAAAATTCAAAATTTGTACACACTTTTCCATTGCAAAAAGATTCGCGGCAGAAGTTTCGGTGCTCAAAATCGAGGCACGATCGTATTCCAGGGATTCCACGGAAGCAGACCGACGAACACCACGAGTTACGCTAGAAAAGAATTACTTTGAAAACGAGCATTGATACTCACGTATCCATGCTTAAAAGTGATGTGAGTGCTCCTCCTTTAGCTTCGGCAATTGTAAAAGCATCCTCTCCCTGAACACATTGCTCTTGTACGGAAAGAGAGAATAATTTGTTAAAACATTAGCTACTCGAACCAAAAGTACCTTGTTATTTTTCTTGTTTGGATCTGCACCATGTGATAACAGCTGTCGAACAATCTCCTCATCAGTTTTGCGCAAAGCAGCGTGAAGTGGTGTATCGCCTTTCGCATTCGCAGCATTGATTGTTGCTCCCGAGTCGCAGAGTATTCTAAACAACCATTTTTTCATCTTAAATTCTTACCAACTTAAGAAGTAGCATAAAATCATTGCATCGCTCACCTCACAATGTCGACTGTTCCAAAATCGGCCGCCCAATTCAACAGTGTGTTCTTCGTTGAGGCGGAATCGATTGAATCGACGGGGACACCACAAGAAATTAATTGGCAGAGTCGCCCGCTACTGAACACACAAATAATGATGAACTTTGATAAAACCGACTTGCTCATCGTAATCGCGCGCAGTACCTCTTGCACAAATGCCATCTTTGCGGCATCAGAACGACACATCTAGAGTTTCGGTATATTTTCCTTTACTAAAGCTTTAATTTGCACCTGGAAAGCCGTCTTCCCCAAATCATTTTGCACACATGGATTCGCGCCATTATTTAGTAGAGCATTGATCGCATCAATACTATCTAAACTTTATGAATCAATACGATGAAATTGACCAAAGCAGACCTAGATGGACGGCATGGTGAAGAAGAGTGGCTCCATTTGGCAAAATTCCATCCACCTCTTCGTGAAAGTTCGCTTGAGCCTCTAAAAATCAACAATTTAACGGAATCCTTGCACTGTAACTTTAACAAGCTGATCATGTTTACAAATAACAATATTCAAGATGCTCAAAACTTTAAAACTAGCCAAGATAAGCAACTCACTTAGTTGCGAGAGAATGGAACAGAGTACGTCTATTCTCCCCTCATCGACACACTTCAGCAAAAGCACCGATGCCGACTCCTCAGCCGCCATTTTGTTCGCGAAGGCTCAAAACCTGCAATGAAATTGATTAAAGCTGCAAAACAGACTAAAAAGGTGAGCTCGGAAACAAGAAGAAAAGGGCAAAGAGAAGTGAAAGACGAGATTTTTATTGTGATTTTTATTTTTCTTGCCAAGCTTTCATTACTTTAAAAGTGTTCCTGCTCTTAAAAGCTACGATTTTCTTTTCTTTTAGTGAGTCGTGAGAAAAAGAATGAGCAAAAGGGACCAGTTAACCCAAACGCGGTTGGTTTTGAGGTAAATGTCAAGTAAAACTTGTTTTAAAAGCTTTAAAGTTTAGAAAAAAGTTTGTTCCGGGGTTTAAAATTCGTTAGAGTGCTATTAAATTGCTTAATCGATTTTAAAAACACCTAGGGAACAAGATTTTCGTGGTAAATTATTTTCAAGAGCAATTGCGTAATTTAAAATTTATTTGCGTAATTTAAAATACCAGAAAGATGAGAAAGTAAACTTGGAATGAGCATTGTAATTCTTGAAAAGAAAAGGAAAATTCCCAGCCTCACTCTTAGCATTCATGTTCCCCTCTCAGATATAAACTGCCACGATTTCCCGTTGTTTCTGCAGTGTCCCCCCGCCGCACTACACTACGACGCACTACGGCGCAAAAATAAAATCATATGGAATTGTCAAGAGTTACTTGCTAAATTTTTAGCCTTTGCGGAATATATTTTTCTTTTACGTTTGAAAAATTGTAATTTAATTTGCTTTTTTTAGGTCAAAACTGGAGAAACCATTGAAGCGACCTAGAATGGATGTTTTAGAGGACGATGATGACGAGGATTTTACTGATGCTCGAGCATATCAAGTAAGTTTTAAAGTTTTTTGGCAAATAAAAGCTTTAGACTCATTTTAAATGATAACGTTAGATTATTATTTTTAGTCTCTGTCCGAAGATGATGAACCACGAAAACCAGCAGCAAAGAAGAAGGAAAATGACGATGGCTTGATTGTCGACCCTTCATTTGTGAGTATCGTTTTTTTATATTTTTGATGTTCTAATTTAGGCGGCCTTCCACTTTGCATCTAAAAACGGGCCACCAAAGAAGCTGATCATTAAGAAGTTGAAACGTAAGCTTTAAATGCTTTCACGCTGTAACTATATTTTAGCTCTGGACAAGAAGAACAATGAAGATTCGCTGAAGAAAAATTGGGAGCTCCTTTCGGATAGCATTGAAGCCATTCAGCAACGCTGTGGAGTCTCGACATCATTGGAAAATCTTTATCAGGTTTTTTTTGTTATTTGAGCTTTAACAAATGGTTTTTAGACTGTTGATACGCTATGTAAAGAAGGGAAAGCTGATGAAACTTACCTCAATTTGGAGACAAAGGTTTGTAAAGTGGTAAAATTAGTGAGAAACTTAAACTTTTACAGCTAGAAAACTATTTGCGAAAACAATGTGAGGAAATGCGTGCAAATGGTCACACTCAAGGACTTGATATGTTGAATGCCGTGAACGCCTTGTGGGAGATGTACATAGAACAATTGGTAAGTTACATTCATAAAATTGCTTTTCAAAGTATCCTCCAGGAAGCCCTTATCTCAATCTTCTTGGTGCTGGATCGGTTTCATGCAATCAATAATCGTCAGATGCAATCCATCTACGATATGGGATTGACTACATTTCATGGAGTTGTTAGTTAATTTGCACTTCTTTGATCAATTTCGTTTTTAGGTTCTTGACACATTTGGATTGGGTCAACGAATTGGGCTCGTTTTGGTCGATCAAATTACCGAAGAGCGAAAGGGTGAAAAGGTAAATTTTTACATAGATCTTCAAAAAATATAAAATTGAAGAAGCAAAGCAAAGTTTGCTTATTTAGGCAAACACAAATCTTCTCCGCTCCAGCATTCGAATGCTATCCGCTTTGTGTGTTTACACGCAACTCTTCGAAGAGACGTTCATTTCTGCATCGGCTGCTTTTTATAAAGAGGAGGGTGAAAAACTCGTGCAAGAGCTGGATGTGGGTTTAGAAGAAAGGTAAAATAACAGGGACTTTGTAGACTTCTGCATATCTCCATCATGTGGATTCAAGGATACGTGAAGAAGAGACCAGGTTTGAAATTTTAAAGAAAAAACACAATGAATTTGTTTTAGATGCGATCTCTATCTGAACTACACAACAAGAGTGCATTTGTTTAATGTACTTGACGCGCGTTTGATAGCGAAAGCGATGGAGATTTTTGTCAAGAAAGGTGAAAATTATGTCTGTCATCTTTTTAATAAAGTGTTTAGGCGCCGCCGAATTGCTTGAGCAGACAAAATACGCGGAACTGAAACTGATGTACGATCTTTTGGGGCGTGTGACGAACGGGAGAAATATTTTGAGAACAGAATTTGCTGATTTTATCAAGGTCTATTCTGTTTTTATCTTTAAAAACTTCATTTTTTTAGAAACATGGACGAAATTTGGTCAACGATCCACAACGGGACGCAACGATGGTGAAAGATTTGATGAGTTTCAAAGAAAGGATGGATTGGTAAGTGTCCAAAAATAAAACAAAAAACAATTCAGTTCGAATTCTTAAACAAAATTTATTTAAATAATCATAATAGTTGTGTTTCCAACTCATTTGCCGGTGATGAGAAAATAGGACAGGCCGAGAAGGATGCTTTCGATTATTTCATTAACACACGACCGACGAGACCGGCAGAGCTTATTGGTTAGTAATTTAAAGTAAATTATGATAAAAGTTTCACAAAAGAAATAAATAAAAAATTAATCAAACTTGTCTATTTTAGCAAAATTCATGGATGCTCGATTACGCGCCGGAAACAAAGAGAACAGTGAAGAAGAGTTAGATTCGGTAATGTATCGCGCGATGCAAATTTTCCGATTCATTCAAGGTTTTTACCATTAATTTTCTTAATTTAGTTCTTAATTCTTTAGGCAAAGATGTCTTTGAAGCGTTCTACAAAAGAGATCTCGCAAAACGATTGCTTCTCAGCCGATCCGCCAGCGTTGATGCAGAGAAAGCGATGTTGTTGCGATTAAGACAAGGCATAGCATGCTTTTAAGTATTCTAATTATTTTTTTGCAGAATGTGGACCTGGTTTTACGCACAAGTTAGAGGGCATGTTCAAAGATATGGATCTCTCAATTGGGCTCAATCAAGCTTTCAAACAAGTAAGGGACTTTTCTTGTGATAGCTTTAGTTTGTTTTAGCAGATGGCCGCTCATGGTGCGTCACTTCGACCAGATCTGACGGTAAATGTGCTCACAATGGGAATGTGGCCAAAATATGATCCTAGCGAAGTTTGTACATTTACTCCCCAAATAAAATGCATTCATATGCTTTAGGTAGTGATTCCTCCAGAGATGTCGCAATGTCTACAACAATTCTCCGATTTCTACACGCAAAAGCATTCCGGGCGCAAGCTACAATGGCAGCATTCACTTGGACAAGCACTCCTTAAAGCCGAGTTCCCTCATGGGGTATATACATAGATGCTATCTCATCTTTATTATTCTTTGCTTTAGACAAAAGAATTGCAAGTTTCCCTCTATCAGGCCACCGTCATTGTGCTCTTCAATTCAAGGAACACTTGGAAGTACGAGGATATTTTAGCAGCGACGAAGATCGGTATTTATTTTCATGCTATCAGTAACACTTATCACGTTTTAGAAGAAAAAGACCTCAATCGAACACTACAATCACTGGCTTGTGCAAAGCATAAGGTAGGACTTTAAAGCCTGTAAATGTAATGCCTTTTCTATAGGTGCTTCAAAAATCTCCGAAAGGAAAAGATGTTGAGAAGAGTGACGAGTTTACGGTGAACGTCGACTTTACGGATAAGCTCCACAGAATTCGAATTTCACAAGTACAGATGAAAGAAACGGTTGGGTGTTTTTAAAAATTGATTCAACGTTTTAAACAGGCTGCCGAGAAAGCGCACGTGGAAGAAGAAGTTTCCGCGGATCGTATTTACCAGATCGACGCGGCTTTGGTGAGAACGATGAAAACGAGGAAAACGCTCACACATCAAGGACTACTGCAAGAGCTCTTCTCACAATTACGGTTAGTGTTTTGGAGAGTTTAAATAAACCGATTTAATTTTATTTCATCATAAATCAAAGGTTTTGCATCTGAATATTGGCTAAAGTTGCGCGTAGCTTATGACAAAATTTAAGTCGGTTTTGACACTTTTGAAATTAAATCTAATAAACCTTGTATAAGTTCATTTAGCCTTCATGTAAAGTCAAAGTCAATGCAATCTTTTTTCAGTTTCCCCGTGAAAGCGGTTGATGTGAAGACGCGGATCGCTTCTCTCATCGAACGCGACTATATGACACGTGATGCTGCCGATTCAAACACTTATCATTATGTGGCTTAAGGGTTATCCCTCTCTTTTCGATTGTGTTTTCAGGGTTGTTGTTATTTTGCGGTTTTTCAACTAATTCCCCGTTTGTTTTGGTATGAACACGAACTAGTCTAGTTTTTAGGAACCCCATGTCTTGCTTCGATGAATTTTTTTAATCTTCTTTCACGTTGTGCTCAATTTTGCACTCCCAAAATATGTTTTTGTTTTGTCAAATTTATTTGAATGGTATCTCTTCGAGTCTCATATTGGTACATAGTAACGAGTACAATTTTATTTTTGGTATTTGTGCGATTTTTTATTGCTTTGACAGTTTTCATTTGTATTGTTTGTTTTTTATCAGGTGTGATTCTGATAATAAATTACATATTTAGGGTTTTAGAAACTGACAAAGTTGGGTTAAAGTAAATGCAGTGGATTATTGAAATGCGCTGGACTCGTTTCTACCCAACAACGAAATCAGGCTGGGAACTGGACTCGAATCGACGTAAAAGGGCGTCAGCACTAAGCTGTCACCGTCTTTAATCTGGTAAACAAAATGCCAGCAACTCTCGCACATCATATCCCCATCGCATGCGAGTGATTCGTTCCCGATTGGCCAGACATGGGTTTGGTCAAGGAGTGTATTGGGAGATCTCTTCTTCCAGATATCCCCCCTTTTCTCCTTCTTTTCCGATGACAGCTCATTGGACAGCCCCGCGTGTCCCAGCGGAAGACTCGATGTTTCTTCTTCCTCCAACCATCTCCCCCTTTTAGTTTCCTCTGAAGATTTTGCATCCTTTGATTTGAGTTTTTACTTACTTGTTCCTTGTTGGGGGATACTGTAGAGTATAATAGTGTGTTCGCTTCAAATGATGTATTTTCTAAAGCGTGTCAATTTTCGACAAATCTGCAGCCTGATAAATCTAGAGTTTCTCTGGATAATCCGGCTAAACTTGTCACTTTCGGGATTATGGTAGAAAGAGAAAGTTGAAATGCTTTAGAAAAGAGACTTGTTTGATTTGGATAGACTTGTTTGCTTGATATAGACTTGTTTGATTGATATAGACTTGTTTGATATTTGATCATTCAAGTTTTTGTTGAAAAACTTGAAACTAGAGCTGTTTTACTTGCTTTTTTATAGAAACTTTGCTCCACTCTTTTGCTCACTTAAACGTTTCAGGACGATTTTCTGATAGGTGTAATTTATTCAATAGAAAGAGGCCAAAATGCGCTTGTCGCATCGTCGGCTTCTTTTTGTCTCATTTTCTCTGATCATCATTTTCCTTGTCAACGAGGTTTCCGCAAAGAGTCGAGCGGTAAAGAAGAAAAAGGTGAGTTGAATTGATTTCAATTGGCGATTTCAACATTTTCTCTGACTCTGATACAATCTTTCAATTCAGACTGAATACTTTTTTTAAATACTAGTTTTATTTTTTGTTATTAATCAAAAGCAATAACAAAATTATTGTTTTTGTGGGTGAAGAATGCAAAACGGAATTGACTGAAAAGAAAATTGATCGAATCGAAATCGAAGACTTAAACCCTGACCGAATCTTGCCCTAAAACCTGGTCTAAAACCTGGCCTAAATCTAAACATCACGAATGGGCTAATCAAATGAAACACATTCTAAGAACTTATTTATATACCGTATTTCTTCGAATAGAAGACCGAGTAAAGGGTATCATCGCGTACTCCTGCGTAGCAGCCCTTTTTAAAAATTCTTTTCTGCATAAAAGCTTTCAATCAAGTGCTATAGAGCTGAAAAATGGCTCAAAAATCTGTTAGCTCAATCTGTTAGCTGTGCTGTTTTTGAGTCACTTTCCAGCCCTATAGCACTTCATTGAAAGCTTTTATGCAGAAAAGAAATTTTAAAAAGGGCTGCTACGCAGGAGTACGCGATGATACTCTTTACCCGGTCTTCTATTCGAAGAAATACGGTAATCAAAAGCAATAACAAAATTATTGTTTTTGTGGGTGAAGAATGCAAAACGGAATTGACTGAAAAGAAAATTGATCGAGTTTTGAACGTCACGAATGGGCTAATCAAATGAAACACATTCTAAGGACTTATTTATGATTCATAGGTAGATTATTCATAGGTAGATTTGATTTGAGAAAGATCAAGAAGTTAAAAATTGAGGATTTATAAACAAGAGTAGGCGAGTCATCAAAATTAAAGACCAACAAAAACAACAAGAGCAAGCCAAGTGAAGCTGCTGCTGATTTTGAAACTCAGCTTTTAGCAACGAAACCAACTAAACAACTAAATCTGTTTAGTGAAGAGCTTAAAAAATAAGCAAGACCTTTGAAAATAGATTTCAAATTTAGGCAAAATCATTTGAAATGTTATTAAAGCAAAATCAAATTCCAGTCGACAATGCCATCGATTCAAAAAGCGGCCATCGTGATGCCGTTTCGGAAAATGTTCGAAGACGCCGGAGTGGCCATCAATTGTCCATCGGGTTGGGGAAAATGTTGTCAAAATGTTGTAAAAATGTTATTAAAGCAATTTTTGTGATTCTTAGTAATTTTTCAAACAAAAAAACCGGCCAGAAAGACAAAAATGTACAAAATTCCGAATTTCAATGTTTTTCCTCTATCAAAAAGCGTCTAATTCTATCAAGATCTTTATTTTATTGCAAAACATAAACTTTTCAAAGCAATTTTCAGGAAACAAAGTCTATGTGCATCCGATCACCGGCGATTTGCAGCAATGCTCACAGAAATTGGGTAAAAAATGTGTTTCAAAGTTATCATAGCTGTTATTTTGCAATAGTAAACACGTGGGGGCAAGTTTTTTGACGACTATGGTAGTATGATAGTAAAACTAACTAAATATAGGCTTTAAAGCTTTAAAAATATCCATTCCAGGCTTCTACAACGAGACCTCGTGCCCGGGTGGCACTGTTTGCGAGCGTTTTCCGATTTTAGTGCCCGGATTTCAGGTTTCAAAGTTTTTGCCTATGATTGTTCACTGAGGAATTTTATATACCGTATTCTCTCTAATACTAGTGCACCCCGGCGAGCCGAGTTGGTGACGATTTTACGGTTTCCAAGATATTCATTGAAATAGCAATCAACGCAATTTAATATATAAACAGTGGGGCAATTTTAAAGGTGCTCTAAAACAATTAGCTACAGCTACAGCTCCATCTTTTCATTATCTTGAATGTATTCTTGGGTAATCATCGAATATGCAAACTAGTTTAGATATATATATATATATGCTTTATTCAGTTGAATAGCGACAAAACAAAATCACAAATCACAATTACCCGGGACACCACTCAAAACACACCCAAAAGATAAATAGATACCTCGTATGAGAAAAGACCCCCTTCTGGAAGTCCACTTCTGGAAGTCCACTTCTGAAAGTCCACTTCTGAAAGTCCACTTCTGGAAGTCCACTTCTGAAAGTCCACTTCTGGAAGTCCACTTCTGGAAGTCCACTTCTGGAAGTCCACTTCTGGAAGTCCACTTCTGGAAGTCCACTTCTGGAAGTCCACTTCTGGAAGTCCACTTCTGGAAGTCCACTTCTGGAAGCCGAATTCAAAGAGACCAGAAAAAAGGGGGTCGGGATGAATGCCTTTAACAATTTTAAAGCATTCCACTAAATCGAAGCATTCCACTAGATAGAAAGGTTGGAAAGCAAAAGTACTGTAAGCATCTGAACTCTGAACTCATACAGTGAACATTTCAGGATTATTGTTGCTGGGAATCGGCGAGCTCAAACGAAGAAAAGACGAAAATCATCACGACAAGTAGGCGGCTGAAAAATCGTGTTTCAAAGGGTAGCACTAGTTTAGAATAAGAACAGAATAAGAATTCGACTTTTTAGACTTTTTACAGGATAAACTTTTAAATGTTAATGTTTAGATTCTAATTTAAATTCTAAATTTTACTTGTATTCAAACGGTAGACGTCTCTGCCAAAAAATTCACGCATCCCAAATAATTATTATGAAAAATAGCGTCGATCAGCTGATAATCACAAAAATATTGAAATTTTCGTTTTCTCAACTTTTCAAAATGAATCAAGAACTTGGTTTTTTGTGTAAAATGGATTTTTCCCCAATCTTTTCCCAATTTTTATCGCAAATCTTTAAATTCTCATTTTTAGCTGATGGAGACAACGAGGGTTCCCCTTTCACGAATAAACCCGAAATCGAGGTTGAGCCGATCATCGATCGACCCGATGGTGGGGATGGAGATGGAGAGGAAGGTTGGGAAAAGGATTGCTTGGAAATATCTTTATCTTAGCTGAAGATCTTTGATTGCAATTTATTATATAATCATTTCGATAATCTTTCTCAATTTTTAGCTCAAACTCAAGCTCAAACTCCCAAAAGAGTTATTGGGTTAGTGAATTGAAAACTGCCGGACTTTGAAACTAAAATTTATTCAACATAAAACCATCAATTCATTCGAAATAATTTCCATTATTATTGACGACTTCTGCCTATTTTACAGGCAATTTGCGGACTCCTCTTTCGTGGTAGGATTTTGGTTTTGAATCGAAAAACTTTCAAAGCCAATTTTTGACTGCTTCTTTCGAATCGAAGTGTTCTCCCGCAAGGCGTCAATAATAATGGAAACCATGAGGCACCTAAGCCCCAAGTTTCGATTTAAATCCAAGGGTGTGAAGGTGCCTTAGCACTGTATCATGATCAACCCCTAACTCTTTTCCCAATTCACGCGATGATACCCGATGATCGTTGGTAATGAGTTCGAGTAATTTGGAATCATCCAGTTGGGGTTCAACATCATCCATGTTGAAGTAAATAAACCCCCCTTTCAGCTGGTTCTATGCTGTTGTTTTCTTTATCTGCGAGTCCCGCGAAATAGCCCGCAGTTTTCAATGCACCAACCCAATAGCACAACAAAGAACAAATAAGTAGGATTTTCCCTCTTTCGTAGTAGGATTTTGGTTTGTGTGTGAGACAAGTGTGAGACTCAAAAATGGAGGACTGGAGATGTCCCATTTTGAGCATTTGAGCACTTTCTTCAAAAGAAACCCATTTTGGTGTCAATAGAAAAGTTGTAGAGAATCAAAAATTAGGCTTATAGCCAAATTTCCAAAAAGATACACTTAGTAGTTTCGCTTAAAATGCAAGTTTTGTGAAAATTCGTAAATTTGCATTTCTTGAAAACCAGTTTTTGAATCGTTCTGAAAATTTGGATATAAGCTTGATTTTTGATTCTCTACAACTTTTCTATTGACACCAAAATGGGTTTCTTTTGAAGAAAGTGCTCAAACTGTCACATATGACAATAGCCCGCAGTTTTCAATTCACCAACCCAATATTCAAAGAAATCTCTTTTCTGAAACCTTTTAATTGATCGATTTAAATATGAATGTAAAAATAGAAACAATATTCACCTATTTCCCTTAGCTCTTGCTCACTTTAACGACATTAAACTTGAAACAATTACTCTTTACGCTATTTTTCTGCAATTTAAAACGACGTAAAGCATTCGACAACCCTCTTTTCTTTGCCTCGTTTAATTGCCTGTTTTTCTATGTAAAAATATCAAAATTTATTCATTACTAGATCGTTAATCCTTCTCACTAACCGCCACAACTTTGAAACATTCATTTCTCGTTCAGGATTCGGTTCAAGCTTTGAGTTGCCCGATCGTTTGTCAAGTCGAAAAATCATTCACAAGAAAAAGGGAAAACCCTCGAATAAGCAAGGTGAGAAGGAAAAGAAATCGTTGGAGTTTATTTTATAAATTTAAATAAAATTTGTGGCATTTTTACTTATTTGCCCTGAATCTATGCACTAGATTACCCCTGAATCTATGCACTAGATTACCCCTGAATCTATGCACTAGATTACCCCTGAATCTATGCACTAGATTACCCCTGAATCTATGCACTAGCTTACCCCTGAATCTATGCACTAGCTTACCCTGAATCTATGCACTAGATTACCCCTGAATCTATGCACTAGATTACCCCTGAATCTATGCACTAGATTACCCCTGAATCTATGCACTAGAAAATGCGTCGATTTACGACGGATATATGCTCTTTAATTTAATTATCAATCAAATTTGATTTAATTGATAATTAAACCAGTCCTTCATTGTTTCTATCCTCTATTCATTTTGCTTTTCCTCAAAATGAGTTACAGAAGTGAGTGTGAGGATGCCAGACTATTGCGATGAATGCAGTTTATTTTATAAATAAACTCCCGTAATCTATTTTGCACAAAATTTGATTGATAATTAAATTGAAGAGCATTGAAAATTAAAAGCATAAATTCCACCGGGTAGCGAAATTCATTGAAGCTTCGAAATTCGTTGGAAACTTTTACTTTTTAGATCATTTTTCATATTGAACGAAGCAAATTCTCTAATTAATTTCTAAATCGTAAACGCTTGTGCAAAACTTCAGTCAAATTCATTAAATTGAATTGAAATGTCAATTCGCGAGGGGAAAAAAAGTCTAAAAATAGCCACAAAAAATAAATGCGTAGAATAGATATTTTTACAAAGTATTTTTATCAAAAAAATTAAGCTAACTTTGGGCTTTCGAATGGTACCAAGATCAAGCCAATCTACCATCTCTGCGTTGAAATATAACGTTTCTTTTCTAGGTTTATAGTCCTATCCCATTGGACAAGACTACAAATTACTATAAATATCACGTTCTCAGAATATAGATGGTGAATTTCTCTGTTTTTGGTGCCATTCAAAAGCTTAAATTTAACTCGATTTTTTGGTAAAAACAGTTTATAAAAATAGCTATTTTACGCATTTCTACAAGCGTCTGTAATCTGATCTTGTAGTTTGTAGCGCCCATTTCTAATAAACAGCAAGATCATTTCTAGGCCCAGACGACTACGAACCGTATGGGCCTGATGCTCTCCCAGAAGCAGCCGTCATCGACATAAATGGTCCAAATGGAGTGATTGATGAAGGGAATGGCGATGGAGAGGATGGATTCACATCTGGAGGGAATGGAGGCACGAGTGGAGGATTTGGTGGTGAGTGAAAGGAGAGAGACTTCTTCTAAACCTTTCTCCCTTTCTCTTTTCACCGTAATTTTGTCTCGAATTTATTATCGAATCTACCGTAAATATTCTAATGAAAGCACCACCCTATAGGAGCGTCGCGTAGTCAAAGTTTACTCTCAAACAAACGCTCATAACTCGACATTAGTACTTTTGTTTTTCTGCGCTTAGATATCAAATTAAAGTCGAGAAAATGGGTGATTTTTGTGTGTTATTTGCATTGTTATTGTTTGTTGTTACAATCTTAGGTTGTCATTGTAAAATACCCTAAATATTCTAATAGAAGCACCCCCTATAGGAGCGTCGCGTAGTCTGTGAAATAGTATGTGATTGATTTGATGAGTTTGACGAGGATTCTAATGAAAGCAATCGTAGTCTAATGAAAGCAATCGTAGTCTAATGAAAGCAATCGTAGTCTAATGAAAGCAATCGCAGTCTAATGAAAGCAATCGTAGTCTAATGAAAGCAATCGCAGTCTAATGAAAGCAATCGTAGTCTAATGAAAGCAATCGTAGTCTAATGAAAGCAATCGCAGTCTAATGAAAGCAATCGCAGTCTAATGAAAGCAATCGTAGTCTAATGAAACCAATCGTAGTCTAATGAAACCAATCGTAGTCTAATGAAACCAATCGTAGTCTAATGAAACCAATCGTAATGATCCGATGCTTGTAGGTCGAGATATAAAGTAAAGAACATACGTCATACGTCATATTTATTCAGTCTCTATACAAAAGTGACGTCGTTTTGCCCTTTGCTCTATAACTGAATAAACACTTTTTCCTAGCTAACACCTTAAACAAATTGTACTTTAGGTGGAGGGAATGGCGAAGATTGGGAAACGGGCGAGGAAATGAGTGAGTTTGACGCAAAAATGAAATTAGAAATGTTTGGAGTCAAGACTTTGATAAAACATTTATTTTTCAGCAACAAGACAAACAAAGAGACCAAGAAATCGAAAAATCACCACCACCACCACAAAACCATCAACAACGACAACGACGGTGAAGTGAGTGGATGGGAAAGCTTATCGTATTGAAAATTTGTAACTTTGTTTTTCTTGGAAATCAAAATCCCGTTCATAATGATGTTGTTAAATTCAGTAATTGCGTAATTGCAGTAGTTGCTGTTAAACTCAACTTTTCAACATAAAACATGGACCTATTCGTTCCTAGGTATAAACGGATCTGGACTAGAGTTTGGGTTAAGCTAAAGAGAGTGGATCCTTTTGATAACCCGCCATCTCTAACACCCCGACAACCCAACTCAACTCCTCCAATGTATTAGAGGGGAGTCCCTGTGAGATGACCGACCTGAACTGCAGTTGCATAGACTCGGAAGATATGTATCTTTATTTACAGTAGTACGATAAGACGAATAGATTACAAATGAGTGTAAGGGGAAGGGGGGACTCCAAATGAGAGTCTCACTTGTCCTCCTAGGCAATCCCAAGGACCGCCCCTTCTCGGCGATGCACAGGGGAGAACACATTTGCATAAGAATAGACAAATCATTCAATAATAACAATAGTAACTTAAATATCAGTTTGGCCCGGAGCTGACAGACCAAAAATTGCTAATCTTGCAAGTAAAAACATCTTGCTCTGTAAAAACATCTGTTAATCTTGCAAAACAACAAAAACAGTAAAAACAAAAAAAAACAAGTAACAAGCAAGCTTTTAAGTTTATTTGTGAAAAAAATGGATAATTTGATTATTTTATTGAAAAATAAAATTGCCTTGACAATTTACAGACCGCCATCTCGTCGCCTTCCAAAGTGCTCGGATCCCAGCGAGGTTCCATTGATCGATCGGGGGAATCGGCTGAGAAATTGCTACTATCAGCAATGCCCAAGGGTTGGTGGTGAATTGAAATATTGAAATATTGAAATATTGAAATAATGAAATCAAAAATAGAAAAGAAACTCTTAAATCTGCCATTAAAACAGCAAAAATGATAAAAACAAAAAAACTTTACTGAAAATTTTGAATGTTTCAATTTTTTTCCCGTTTGTTCTATTGAAAGTTATTCAAATTTAACTCTTGAAAGCATTTGTCACGGGTTGGATTTCTGAACTTGATGCCTGTCTTGCAAAACATTATCATTATCATTAACATTATGCTAGGATTCAATAAACGTTAATGAAACTTACAAATCTCGTCCCTCAACCGGTCGAGTACAAATGGGTGATTTGTGGGTACTCGAGAGCGATTTTCTTCAAGAAAAGCGTCATATCGTTGTAATTGTGATTGATTAGAAGGGTCGAATTCACTTCCTCAAAGTTACCGACTCTAAAATTAGAGCGGTCGAGTACAAATAGTTGTACAAATACAAATAGTTGGCACAAATAGTTGTACACAAATAGTTGTACCAATTTTTGTTTTTGAAACATCAAATCTAGCTATTGTTGATTTTATCTAGCTATTGTTGATAAAAGCTTTATCATTACTTTATTTTTGGGAATTCCGATGCGAGTTCAACAAGGACGTGCTTCGGTATATTTGCTGTGGAGCAGAGGGGAATGCACCCGAGGCACCAGGTGAGTTTAAACAAAAAAAAAGACATTTATTCACACGACTAATATGGTACAAAACAATACAAAAGCACAGTCACTAAGCTCTAAATGTAAGGAAGAAAGAAATTCATATAGATGAGAAAAATCAACCACTAATCTAGGAGGGTTTGAACCCTTGATCTCGCGCCTCGTACTAGAGTGTGTTCCTCTCGAGTAATACGTTTTCTAAAAAGCACCTTATTGAGAAAAGTACCGTAGCCAAACCGTTAGTTTTCATCAGATCAGGCCAAGAAATATCGTTCCGCACTGCCTTTGAAGCTAATCCGGCCGCCAGTTTACATTCGATCAGCCCGATTTTGGTATCATTGACTGAGCATTGTAATTCCTCATTGAATGATACCAAAATCGGACGAATTAAATGTAAACTAACGGTTTGATTACGCTACTTTTCTCAAATAAATGCATTCTAAAAAACGCATTACTCTAGAGGAACTCTACCTCGTACACAGTCAGCTCTTAGCCAGTCAGCCAGTCAGGCGTCTTAGCCAGTCAGCCAGTCAGGCTTCTTACCCAGTCAGCCAGTCAGGCTTCTTAGCCAGTCAGCCAGTCAGGCTTCTTAGCCAGTCAGCCAGTCAGGCTTCTTAGCCAGTCAGCCAGCCAGCCAGCCAGTCAGGCATTTGTGCTCGTTTTCATTCCATTATTCAATAATTTTCGTACATAAGTTATATGAAGATCAAAATTTCAGGTTTACCCCCAATTCCTCAACCTCGTCCATTGGTGCCTCGACCGATGCGACCCCGGCCGGGACCTTACGGTGGAATACTCAGTGATCAGGGTAATAAGGATTTGAATTCTATTTGGTAATAACTATTGTTTTATTATACTGATTAACCGCTTAAGCTCAACTAGGTAAGACTGTTTTCTTAAAAGTTTCGATTTGCTTGGTGTTTGTTTAGAAAACTATCGTAATCCATTCTCCAGTTTGCTTTTGATCAGCTCAATTTTTGTATCATTGATTGAGCCTTGTGTTTCCTCATCGAATGATACCAAAATTGGGTTGATCGAAAGGAAACTGGCGGTCGGATTACGGTAGTTTTAAAAAGAGGTGCCTTTTAGCAAACAAATTAAGCTAGAGGAGCACAATGTACCTAAAGGAACACAATGTACACAATGTATCATTCAATTTCAGACACCGAACTGGAAGACTCCGACTCGCCGGATCTCCCCTCATCCTCTTCCGGAATGCCACCGATTTTTGCAGCAAGGCCCCGCAATGTCGAGTTCTCGGGAGAGCGACAAGAACGAAATGACGAACATCACCAAAACTCACATCATTATCCGAATGAGCACGGAATTATCGTAAATGGTGAGTGTTTGAGATTGTTTAAGGTATGAAATCGGATACGTGTTTGCTTTTGAAAATGAAAAGCTTCAAATTGAACCCTTTTCGCAACAGTATTGAGCACTAATAATGTACAAATGAATCTCAAGAATAAAACTTGATTTAAGGTGATGAACGAGAGTTTGAGCAACAGCCCGAAATTCACGAGAACACAGGAAATACTCGACGAGCACCACAACACAATCGGGGACCTGGTTGGTGTGATTTTGATTAGGGCAATGCATTGCAATGTGTTTCTCTAAAGCGTCTTCTAAGGCTTGTCCTCTTTCTCTAGGTTAGATCTTAACTTAACCCACGCCTACATTTCGGGTGGCTCCCTAATCCCTACTCTTATTGGACGATCTCTAGATACCGTATTCTCTCTAATAGTAGTGCACCTCACTGAGCCGAGTTGGTGAGGATTTTACGGTTTCAAAGCTTTTGCAGAAGCTCATCCCTCTAATCCCCCACTAGATCTCATCGTCAGCTACATTTTCCGACCGCACATCGATAGGTTCCGATAAGCGGTTCTCGAGATTTCGAGCAATTTAGGCGACGCTCATGGTGCACTACTATTAGAGAAAATACGCTAACTTGTTCTAGTGGTGAAGAGAAAGCGAAGACGGCTGAATAGGCTTCTCGCATTGAGAACCTGGGCCATGAATCAATTCACCGAGAGGCGGGATCGAACCCGGATCTCTAATTCCAGAGACAGCCACCAGAGACGACTTATATTAAACAATCAATTCATCTATCTAGTTCATCTTTTAACTCAAATACTTTGAAAAACCATCGTTTAAACTCGCGAATTTTGAATTCCTTTAACTAAATGGACTTGAATTGTTGCAATGTTTTTTATTATAGAAATTGCAATTGTAGAATACATTTTTAAGCGTGGAAGCTGTTAAAGAAAAAAAACAAGACTATAGCATGGACAAAAAAAAACTGAGATCTTTATGAAGCCATTGTAATTAAGTATTTTGAAACACTAGTTTTTAACACGACAAAAACTACTCGAATCGTTTTTTCATCAGTTTCATCAGTTTAACATGACTAAAACTTAAATCTATTTGAATTTTGAGAGTTTTTTTTTGCATATTGTGTTTAAATTTCGAAAAATTAGCCTTTAAATCAAATAGATTTAAGTTTTAATCCTTTTAGGTTTCAAATGTGAGATGGGAAATGGAGGAAATGGAGGAAATGGAGGAAATGGAGGAAATGGGAATAACGGGAATGGAGAGATGCAACAAAATGATGGTGGAATGATTGGATGCGGGAACGGATGTCAACAACAAATGAATTGCTGCGGATGTCAACAAATGATGAATAATTGTGGAGGGTGTCCATATGGGTGAGTGGAAGTTGGATTTAAGAAAAAAATGTAGTAGACTTTTGAGTGAATAGCGCCTAACTTGAAACGTTTATTTTGAAAATTGCAATCAGCAATCCTATTTTACTGTTGTTTTTGTCTCAGAAATTAAAACCAATAACGAAAATGTTTGGCTAATTGTATTTGGCTGTTAAAATGTGTAAATTGTGAAAAATTGTTTTCTTATTGTCTCTTTATGCGTAGAATTAAGTCAAATTTATCAAACCACACATGGAAAATGTTCAAGTTTCAAATTAAGACCTTTTCTAGATTAGATAATACTTTAATGGCGTGGGTTACTTTGCGCAACTAAGTTTTTTTGCGCCATAACTTTCTTCTAAGTCGGTCAATCTTTATGATTTTGGTGTCATTTTGTAGATCTCAACAAGTGCAACAAAATGACACCAAAATCATAAAGATTGGTTGACTTAGAAGAAAGTTATGGCGAGTTGCGTAGGCGTAGGCTAATTTCAAATTGGGTTATCTGCGCAACTCGCCATAACTTTCTTCTAAGTGAACCAATCTTTATGATTTTGGTGTCATTTTGTAGATCTCGACAAGTGTAACAAAATGACACCAAAATTGTTCATCAACAAGAATTAGTCTGATTTTTGCTGCTTTGGTCCATCTATTTTTGAAACACGCACATTGTTTCAAAAAAAACACTAACTACGAGGCTTGATTTAACCAAAAACTACGGCGGGTGGCCACTTTGCGCCAAATTTTTGCGTTTTCAATGGCAACTACAGTAACCCGCTTGCTGTCTGTCTGATTTTTTGCACAACTCGCCATAACTTTCTTCTAAGTGAGCGAATCTTTATGATTTTGATGGCATTTTGTTACACTTGTTGAGATCTACAAAGTTTGATTTCCATTATGTAGCCATTACCGTAGCCACCGCGAACTTTAATCGCATAATGGAAATCAAACTTTGTAGATCTCAATAAGTGCAACAAAATGACATCAAAATCATAAAGATTGACCAACTTAGAAGAAAGTTATGGCGAGTTGCGCAAAAAATTTGGCGCAGACAGAAAGACAGACAGATAGACAGACAGACAGACAGAAAGACAGTAAGCGGGTTACTGTAGTCACGGCGAACTTTAATCGCATAATGGAAAGCAAACTTTAGAATCGATCAAATCTCAAATATGAAAAACAATGGATGCGGGAATCAGCAAAAGGGACTGGAAATCGGGAACGGATGTCCATTTGGGAACAATCAAAATAATAATGGCCAAGGAATGGGAAATGGTTGCCCGTATGCAAACAGTAAGGGAATTTTGGGGAAATTAGAAAAAGGAGAGCTATCCCGTATCGATTAATCGCACTCTTTCATCGTTTACACTGAGTAGTTTGAAACATTTAATCTTAAAAATGAAAGCTAAGTTTGAAAATGTTAAAAGTTTTGAACGAGAGTTGATCTAAAATCTTGAAACGAAAGAATTCAGAGGAAATCGTGGGCAATGGTGGTAATGGATGCCCGATGGGGCCACAAACGTTCAACTCGAGAAAAGTCGAGAATAATGGAGATGACGGGATGATTGGTTGGGATTATCGAGACAATACTAATAAGGGAAAGGCACTGAGTCAAGCTGTTTTTTTGACTCGAGACCAAATTCAGTTTTTAAGTCGGCCAATCCGTTTTTAGTTTTTGCAAAACGGGAGATATCTATTTGGCTTCGTTAAGAGGCTGTCACACGCTTTGTGGACAAGTTCGTAGTCTAGTGGTAGTCTAGTGGTTAGTCTGCTAGACTACCGAACCTGCTACAGCTTTGTCCTCCAAGTTCGAGTCCCAATCTCGACAAATTTTTACTTTTAAAAAACTATTTTCCTAGATTTTCGCAATGGATAATAGAGTTGAATTTGATGGACAAATTGAAATGTTTATGAGAAACACTGGAACCAGAGATGTACACTACTGGACAATGAAATATCATATTTGCAAAAACGATCGTCACTTTCGCGCGTCTGTAACTCCCTTTTCTTTACCGTATTTCTAAAATATTAATATTACCATTGTGTAGCCCTTGAAAAGAGCTTTCAGAAAATGTTTAACACTAATAGTTTAAACTCAAAGACAAGGGAGTTACAGACGGGCCACTATGCTCAAATTTTTGGGATCAATTTTTCCCTTAATTTTTGGCTGTTAGGTATATATACAGCACTGGACAATGAAATATGATATTTGCAAAAACGATCGTCACTTTCGCGCGTCTGTAACTCCCTTGTATTTGAGTTTAAACTATTAGTGTTAAACATTTTCTGAAAGCTCTTTTCAAGGGCTACACAATGGTAATATTAATATTTAGAAATACGGTAAAGACAAGGGAGTTACAGACGCGCGAAAGTGACGATCGTATTTCAAATATCATATTTCATTGTCCAGTAGTGTAGCTTTCAGTAAGGAATTTTTTTAAAAGTTTGGCGAGAGAAGGATTCGAACTTGAGAGCAAAATTGTAGCAAAATTGTAGCAAAATTGCAACAAATATTAGTTTGTTCAATTTCATTGTTAAATTTCAATTCAATACTTATCTAATGCTTTATCTGCTGTTCCAGCTTTTGTGTTCATTTGTTAAATTTACAGAAATATATCAATTTGCTTGGTGTTTGTTTGTTTGTTTAGAAAATTATCGTAATCAATTCTCCAGTTTGCTTTTGATCAGCTCAATTTTTGTATCATTGACTGAGCCTTGTGTTTCCTCATCGAATGATACCAAAATTGGGTTGATCGAAAGGAAACTGGCGATCGGAAACTGGCTTTAAAAAGAGGTGCCTTTTAGCAAACAAATTAAGCTAGAGGAATCATTATCATTAAAATAATTCAATAATTCAATGCAAATACGTAAGGAAACAGTTTTTTAAAAGTTGGGCAAGAGAAGGATTCGAACTTGAGAGCAAAATTGCAGCAGGTTCGGTAGTCTAGCAGACTATCCACTAGACCATCAAAGCAGTTGTTGGGTGAGGCCTCATAAAGCGCTCGAAATTTAAGGTAATTGCTAAATATCTCGCATTCTTGCGTTCTGCAAAAACTAAAAACGGATCCTCATGATCTCGAGCCTCATGATCTCGAGCCTCATGATCTCGAGCCTCATGATCTCGAGCCTCATGATCTCGAGCCTCATGATCTCGAGCCTCATGATCTCGAGCCTCATGATCTCGAGCCTCATGATCTCGAGCCTCATGATCTCGAGCCTCATGATCTCGAGCCTCATGATCTCGAGCCTCATGATCTCGAGCCTCATGATCTCGAGCCTCATGATCTCGAGCCTCATGATCTCGAGCCTCATGATCTCGAGCCTCATGATCTCGAGCCTCATGATCTCGATCCCCAAGACCGATTCTATAAGATGGGCTTGGATTTAAGTCAAAAAAGCCAGCTTGTTGCCTGTTGCCAGCTGTTGCCTTTCCCTTGTAAGCCAATCATTTATATTCTCACCAAGTAAAACTTGAAACTAAGGCTTTAGTCTGCTTTTTGTCTGAAAATCTGCTTAATTTTATTAGTGAGATTTGTACTTGTGCTCAAACCCACCATTTCTAGTGCACTAAATTTACATTATCTTTAAAAGTTGATAAATTTGCTAAAGTTTAGATGATTTCGGCGCAATTCCACCAATGATCATACCGGAGAATCATCAAGAAAATGGACGACGAGGAGGACATGGTTTGGTTTTGTTCAATGGAAAAAGAATAATGTTTAAAAAATTTTGAAAATCTTTTAGATCTAGCCAGCTATAGAGCCATAAAGCTATAAAGCTCGCAGAAAGTTTTGTTACAAAATTGATAAGATGCCGTAATCCAGCTAATCTAGACTGAATATCCCAATCTTAACTGAATACCCTAATCTAGACTAAATACCATAATCCAGCTAATCTTAACTGAATACCTTAATCTGAATACAATTCTTGACTGAATAGCTAGAGTATTGTAGGTATTCAGTATTCAGCTACAATAAGTATTGTAGCTTCATTGATCGTTTTAGAAACGATGAATCGATCGACAAATGGTTTATTTTATGGAAAAGCTTTCTTTTATTGAAAAGCTTTCTTTCTTTTTTCTAAAAAATGCTTCTAAAGTAGTCTAAAGTCTTTTAAAGTTTTCTTTAAGAAATTTCAAGAAGCGAGTTTTCAATAATAACAGATTTGATCCTTTTCTTCTATAGAAATCTATCTTTATGTCAATAGTTAAAAGATAAAGCACAAAAAGTTTCGTATATAGTTAAATTTTCAAATCTATTCACTCAGTTTATCTTTCTCTTCTAAGAATGAGAATTTATTTACAAATTTGCATCATATCAAACAAAAATTTCGGGATAGACTAATTTCCGCAATTTTATTTGCGCAACTTGCCATAACTTTCTTCGAAGCCGGTCAATCTTTATGATTTTGGTTTTATTTTGGTCGGTGGCAGCTACAGTAACCCGCTTACTGTCTGTCTGCCTGCCTGTCTGTCTTTCTTTCTGTCTGTTTTTCTGTCTGCGCCAAATTTTTTGCGCAACTCGCCATAACTTTCTTCTAAGTTGGTCAATCTTTATGGTTTTGTTGTCATTTTGTAGATCTCAACAACTGTAACAAAATGACACCAAAATCATAAAGATTGACCGACTTAGAAGAAAGTTATGGCGAGTTGCGCAAAAGACCCAAGTTGCGCAAATAAAATGGCGGAAATTAGCGCAACTGGATTACGGTAACTTTTCTTGAGCAGATTTCAGCAGACATTTTGCTTTATATTTGATTTCAGTCAAAGTAAGCATAAATTTAATAGGATCTCGACCGAATCGACCACCGCAAAGTCGACCGATCGATGGAGATTTCAACGGAATGCCAGCTGGTCCACCGAGAAATGCACATGGGAATGGGAATGATGGACAAAGAGGTACTAAAACAAAATCTTTTGGAAATTTAATCAAAACCACTGGGCCTCCATAATTGTTGTCTTTCTTTCTAAGCAGATCACTAAGCATTTGTTGAAATATTTCAAAAATGCTCAATATGCTTGTTCTCGAAAGAATTCATTTCATTGGTTTCATTGTTTTCATTGGTTTTATTGAGTTGATCACAATGTTTATTAGGAGTACAAGGACATCAGAGTGGCCATCAGAGTGGACATCAAGGAGGGCATCAGGGTGGAGGACCGCCAAGAGGCCCAATGGGTGGAGCTCCGCCTTTACCCGAACCTCGTCCATTGACCCCATCGGCTGGTGGGTTTTAAAAATTGTGTTTCAATGTAGACAAGGTTGAATTGATGCTATTAGGTTTTCAAGAAAGTTCGTAGAACGAAAAAAAGAAAGTTGCACAGTGATTTTCTTAAAAACCAAGCTATGATTTCTTCTCAAAACTTGATTATACACGCTTTCACATGCCCTGGCTTCAAGAACACTTCAGACTGAGTAATCCAATGGGTTAAGATCGGGTGAGCTGGGTGACCCATTGTCTGTGCCATTCCTCGAGCCGATTGGTTAGTGTTTAATCTTAGACGATCGCACACTTTCTTGACATTAGCCGGAGTAACCGCTGTTCGTTTTGCACCCCTTCCAGGGCGATCAGATCCCTGGATCGATCAGAAACTGTGCCCAGAGTTTCATAACGTTGAATGGTTGAAGAAACGAGGCTTCTGGGGACATTCAGGCGCTTTGAGATCTCGCTCGCCTGAACACGCTGCGGCTTGAGCTCAAGGGTCGATTGTCGATGTGGAGACGCTTTCACCATTCCTGAAAACAACCATACTAATTTATTGAAAGTTAGATACCATAAAATAAGAAAAATACACAAAAACCATAAAAACAGGTAAGGAAAAAGTGAAATGGGGCTCATAAAATAATATGACGTTGTTGCGGTAATTCTTGGTCACCCTGTATTGGTTAAATGAATCAAATTGCGTTGCCTCTCTGTTCAGAGTAGAATTTGAGTAATGTCGAAATAAGCTCAAAGTAAGCTTATCTAATACGGCTCCAATACGGTTCCAATACGCTTCCTATTTTGATCTAATACGGCTCCAATACGCTTCCTATTTTGATCTAATACGGTTCCAATAAGGTTCCAATACGGTTCTTATTTTGTTCCAATACGGCTCCTATTTTATTCCTATACGGTTTCTCTTTTGTTCCAATACGGTTCCAATACGGTTCTTATTTTATTCCAATATGGTTCCAATACGGTTCTTATTTTATTCCAATACGGCTCCAATACGGTTCTTATTTTATTCCAATATGGTTCCAATATGGTTCTTATTTTACGTCATAACATAATATGACGTTGTTGCGATAATTCTTGGTCACCCTGTACAGTCGACGCTCGATAGTAAATCATTGAAGGGATTCTCAAAAAATGATTTACTATCGAGCGTCGACTATATTTCATTTTTAAGAAATTCTAGTTTAAATCTGTGCAAAGACTTTCTTACTAGCTTAATAATTGTTAATTTATCAGTGAAATAAAGAATAGAACAATGTCATTTAAAGCTTTGAAAGTTTTGAAACGATTTATTCAACTTTCCAGGAGCCATGGGTCCAATTGGTACAAGGAGAGGCTCAACAACGAGCCAAGTGCAGAATGGAAATCAGCGAATTGGTAAGGAGTGAAAGTTTAAGTGAAAATTGATGAATTTTGATCAAATGAAGCCAACCATAAAGAATTTGAATTATTCAAAATTTAGGAATAAGCTCAAAGGGTCGATCGGGTGATGGTCACGGCTTGGCGCCGCAAAATGGTGGAATGGGTGGGCAAGGAGGGCAAACGAGAAACGCTCGGCCACGATTGCCCAATAATAACGATGGGCATAGACCGCATTCGTTAAAGGGAACGGGTAAGTGAGCGAGGATTTGCTTTTGAAAACACAGTAGGCTGTTCATTTGTCAGTCTGATTGTCAACATCTTCAAGATTTTGTCAAAAATTCATCCCTTTAGTCATTGATATTTGAATTTGATCGTATTTAGTCGTATCTCATATTTCTAAAACCTAAAATAATCTGATTTGCTATTCTTAGAAGTTAATTTAACAAATAAACCTTAAAAACTTACTTTAAAAAAAGGCTGTTTCAAAATAAATCGGTTAATTTGCTATTGAGAAAGGCTAATGAAAGGGGTTGAGTTGTAAAACAAAATAAAAATAAACAAATCTAATCAATCTATAAAGAATCTTAGCTTATATTTTTGTCAAATCTACTCCTTTATTCAGTCCGTCGTCCCCGTCCATCTCACTCACAAAAAATCCCGGCGAAAAAGCAAACGACTTGTCCGAATGGACACGAATATTCGATGGCGAATTCGGTAAACTTTTTGAGATCATTATGATATTAAAAACAGTAAAGCATTCGTGAAACAGTAAAGCATAAGATGAAATTAAAATTTAATTATTGGGTTGTCCAGTTATGAATGCGCGTTTTTACTATTTTGTAAATTTCTCAAGATACCGAAATCAAGAAAAAGATATACCGTAAATACTGTAATAGTCGTATTACAGTATTACCCACCCCCCTCGTACAGGCGCGTAGTCGCAAAAGTTTTTTTTAGTAATTCATTTTTTTCAAAGCGCCCGTACTTTCAAAAAATGTGTCTTTGGTATCAAAAAATAGCCCTGAATTTCAGCTATTTTTTGATACCCAAGCGCGCATTGTAGCATAAACCAGTGTCGAGAAACACTCGTTCAAAGCTAGACTACGCAACGCTCCGGCGTCATTATGGGGGTGCGGTACTATTACAGTATTTACGGTATATGAGTATTATTCGAAAGCTGAAGATCTCCTCTACATTTTGATATAAAAAGTTTTTGAATTGGTCCAGCTTTTGGGCTTATTCGCATCGAATTCGGCATTTTGGGCATCGAATTTGGTAAACTTTTTGAGATCATTAAGTAATCACTGTGCATTTCTCTATGATTTCTTTCACTTTATCGTTTGAATAAAGTATTATTATTATCATTATGATAGGAAAATGATTAAAATGATTAAAAAGAGGAAAGCATAAGATGAAATTAAAAAATTTAATTATAATGAATAGATCACAAATATAAAATTGACCAGAATTGGTGCTATCAATTGATTCTCGATCATCTTTTCATTTCCTATATCTTCAGGTTGAAACTTCTTATTTCAAACGATGCCATGTTTTCAAATACATCAAGTTCCACCGTAATACCTGTAATAGATGATTACACATTTTGCTGAACGTAGATTAAGGCAAAATAAATTAATTCCCGGTCGACTTTTATTAAGCTTTTCGTTCTTTTTCGTACTTCTATTGAAAAATAACAAATTTACCAATTGAACAAAACAAAACAACAAATTTACCAATTTATTTAATTAAAAAGACTAATTATTTTTCTGTAAAATAACATTAAAACGGGTTTAAAATTATTTATTTTTGATTTTTATAGATTTTTTTACGTAAAACACGCATTTTTACTTGCTTATTTATCAAAAAATAGCTGAAATTCAGAGATTTTGAAAGCTTTTTTGAAAAGACGAGCTTTTTGAAAAAAACTAAATACTAAAAAACATTTTCGACCACGCGACTGTACGAGAGATGTACTATTACGGTATTTATGTAGGTTAATTAGTGAATTTGTGCTTTCAACGAAAGTAAATGGAACGAAAAGGAAAGAAAAGGAAAGAAAAGACTTTCTGGATAGCCTAATACTTTGGTAATGTTTTAAGTTGAAACATTAGTTTTTAAAATATCATTTTTTTTGTAATACGGCCGTAGCAAAGTTTTTGATACAAGTTTGGCTCGACTATCGTACCCATGACTCTGTAGATGTTACCGTAAGTAGTTCAATTGTAGTCGTGCTTAGTTTCAAAAATTGGAGCCAGAATCTAGGACAAAGAGAGCTAGAACAAAGATCAAAACACTGACGATATACATATAAACCACATCTTGTAACTCGCGGGTAACTTGGGAAGGTTCCCTTGTAAGATCTAGGCTTAGCTGAAGCTCTAAAGCTTAGCTGAAGCTCTAAAGCTTAGCTGGAACTTTAGAGCGCCCAAAAAAGTCGATGAAAAGTACAAATTCAAAGCAGTGCTTGAGTTTTCTGAAGTATTTTTTTTCATTTTCAGTTCCCCGAATGCCATCCACCGGGACTCGACTCTTGCCCGTTGACGCACAACAAATGCTTGATGAGCACGAAAATCGGGCATTTCGTTTGCTGTCGGACTTAGGGAATAACTCGAATTTTCGTGCCTCGACTTCTAACGAACGAACTTTCCAAAAGCGGGCATTCTTTTCGACCATTTGATTGTGATAGCACAGATTTCCCATAGAGTGTTTGAATAAAAATTTCTACTAAAGGAAAAGGTTGCACAACAAAAAAAACTAGTCTAAACAATTGCAAAATAGAATTAAGACTACAAGTACATATTACAATATAATACAGTAAACTTGTAGTACAGTGTAGTAGTTGAAAATACAGTAGATTTAAATTTAAATAAGTACAATTAAATGCACTTTAAAGTACGATAAAAATGCAAAACAAATGAAGCTCCAATTGGTGAATTTGCATTTAATCTCGGAATTTAAAAGAAGGAAAATCTTTTTCTTTATTTATTTTTCATTTCTCTTCGCTCTGCTCGTCGTTTTTCTTCACTTCATTCAAATCTTAATCTACGACAAGAAATGGCCGTCAAGTCAAAAGAAAGAAGTCAAAAGAAGCCCAGTTCCGTAAATTTTATCGGTGAGTGCTTTGAAACATTGTGTTTTTTGTCCTGTATCTTTTGCACTTGTTGAGAACTGCGATTTGAAATTTTTGAGCTAAGAGGTTTTTGAGCTAAGAAGGTCCTTTCAAATAACTTTTTTTTAAAATTCTAGGCTCTATAAAAGGTCATAGTTACGTTTTTTGAAGGGGGTGGGACAAATGCGACTTTTTTTTGGGTCAAATTTGGGCTAAAAGGCAAAAACTGCGGAAAAGCGTTAAGTTGCGTAGTTTTTGCCTTTTAGCCCAAATTTGACGTGTCAGCGAGGTCTGATTTGTCGAAATTCTGAATCTATGCATACGATTCCCTTCTATGAAAACATTTTTGAAGCTCTACGACCTTTCCTAAGGCCTTTTCCAGCAAAAAAAAGGTGCGCAAATGTCCAGGTGCGCAAAAAAAAGGTTGCATTTGTCCCACCCCTGTTTTGAACTACTTAAATGTTGAAATTTAAATTTTTCACTAAAACAACAAGTTCAGTTTGGGAGAACCTTTAAAATAAGCTTGTCTACCTCTAGGTAGACCAGCTTCTAGGCCTTTTAGGCTTAAAAACCTATAGTTTTTTTTTTTCACAATTTCAATTGTTTTAGTGAAAAGTCTCTCGGGAATACCGGACGGTGTCGAACACGAGGTCTGGTTTCACGGGCTTTTGCCTAGGTGAGCTTTTGATGAGATTTAATAAGTTAGTTCTTAACTTTTCGAAGCTCTTTAAATGCTTTTATGTTAAATCTATAGCCTCCAGGCTTGATTTTTGCTTATTTGTTGAAAGATTATGTATTTCTTTCTTTTCAGAGAAGACATCACCCTTCTTTTGAAAGAAAAAGGGCAATTCCTCGTGCGACAGGTGTGTCTAACTTTAATTTTTCTTAACTTTTTTATTTTTTTAGACAGAGCCCATGCAAGGCCAAGGTTTGAAGGCAGTGTTGAGCGTTTTTTGGTTGGGAAAAGCTCGTCATTTCATCATCAACAAGACTTCTGGTGGTTGTTTTTCTTCAATTTTTGTGCAACTTCAAGCATTTTAGATGGCAAAGTATGCATTGGAAAGGAGAGATTCGACAATGTTGACGATTTGGTGCGCTTTCATCAGACGAGAAAGGTGTGTTTAAAAATTTGATAGCTTGATAGTACTTGATTTTAAAAGAAAAGTTGTAAATTGATCAAGTGTTTTTCTTAAACCTTGCATAACCTTAGGTACCATTGACGGAGGGTAGTGGAGCTTTGCTGGTCACTCCGGTCCCAAAACAAGATTGGGAGCTACATCATGATCAAGTACGAGTTTGATTGCTATGCGATTTGAAACTTGACAGTTTCAAAGCATATTCGTTGTCGAATTGTTTACTTTTAGATTCAATTGGGCAGTCTCCTTGGCGAGGGTGCGTTTGGCGGAGTGTACGAAGGCTATATGACGCTTGCAAACGGAGACAGAATCAAAGTTGCCGCCAAAGTGCACAAGGGAAAGGAGATGAGCAAAACGGTGGGTTGAGTTAGCGTTTGGAAAAAAATTGGAGGGTAAGGCCACTCGCAAATTTGCATTTAATATTCAACTTCCATTAGTGTAGACTTCTTTCTTTGCTCCATTGGCTATTTCCAATTTTCTAAATTAACAAAATTAAACAGAGACAACATGAAAATAATGTAACAAATAGGTAACAATAACATCACAAATAGATAACACTTAACTTAACAAAATTACTGGCACGGATAAGTTTTAATAGTGGAAAAGTTCTTGAGCGAAAGACGAACCAAAGCAGCCATTTGTTGAGATTTTTCCAAAAATCAATTGCACAACAAACACAACGACAACAACAAAAAACAAAAAAACAAAAAACAAACAACAAAAAATTGCTTGATCTTTAGGGGCCATTTTTTGAAGCATGCTATCATCCTAAACATGTTTTATTTTAAAACTGTGATTGTTGAAAAGAGTTTATCTAAATGTTTGCTTCGTTTTAGCAAGATTTTTGTTCAGGCGATCAAGGAGATCTGCAAAGAGGCTCGCATCATGCGTCGCTACGAGCACAAGAACATTGTCAAGTTTCATGGAGTCGCCATCGCTATGGGTGAGCTCTGTTTCAAATGTGATTAAATTTTGTGTTTTCTAGAGCCGATCATGTTGATAATGGAGCTGGTGGACGGGGGAGCGCTTGACAAGTATCTCGAGAAGAAAGGAGCCGAGATTTCGGCAATCAAAAAGGTTTGGTGCATAATTTTAAATGATAAGCTTGCTTTGTTTAGCTGAATATGTGTTGTGATGCGTCTTGTGGCTTGGAGTATCTCCACAAGAATGAATGCATTCATCGGGATTTGGCCGCAAGGTAAAGGCTTATTCCTTGCTTTTTTTGAACTGTTTCTCGTCTTTTAAAGTGTTAAGTGTACAACTTTTTGCTACTTGCTTAGCAAATGCTTTTAGGAACTGTTTGCTGTCGAATGAGATTGTGAAAATCTCGGACTTTGGTTTGTCGAGGGAGATGGCCGACCGGGAGGCTCGATACAAGATCAAGGATCTCAAACAGCGATTGCCTATTCGATGGTTAGCCCCCGAGACGTTGAAGGTAGCTTTTCTTTTGGTTTATAAGTATGGGAAATTGGATGAAAGATAGCTCTGCGAATACTTTTATGCCAAAGAACACTAAAATTCAAGAGCTGAAACATCGATGTTCACTTTTAGGATGGCTCATACTCGACGAAGACCGACGTGTACTCGTTTGGTGTGTTGATGTGGGAAATCTTCAAGAATGGAGCGATTCCCTACGCTGAAATGACCGTCCAAGAGGTGAACGTCTATGTGAGTGATTTGAGTTTTCTTTAGTTTTTGTAAAGATCAATATTAGGCATCCAACTTTGCTTTCTTTTAGGTGAAGAAGGGGAATCGTTTACCAGCGCCGGACATGATGCCAATGGTGGCGAGAGATGTAATGTTGAAGAAGTGCTTTTCGGAGAACCCGGATAAACGGGTGACGATGACCGAGGTATTGAGTGATTACTGGACTTGTTCATTTTGATTGTCAATAGGTGTACAAGGGAAAACGCAAGATTTGACCACTTCAACGGCTACTTTTTCAGGATTTCTTGCTACATGAAGTGGTCAAATCTGATTTTTCCGTTGTACACCTATCAGACCGGCAACTGAACAGCTCTAGTACCTACCGTAATATCTGTCCATTACATCTTTTTTAGATCCGCCGATCGCTTGAAAAGACTTGCCGCCGTTCGTCCAGCGCCAACAAGAGCAAATACGATAAGTGAGTTGTGAAATTTAGCGCTCACCGTAACTTTTCCTGTCTAACTTAATGGCTAAACCATTTGATGTTTGGTATGTTTCATTGCTTTGGATTTAGATCTAGCAAAGACTTTGGCTTGAGCAAGGAATCGAAGAGTGTTTGGGAGAACAAAATGACTCCCGACATCTCCACAAATTGAATGGAACAACTGCAAAATATGGAACCTACAAAAAGAAAATTGCATCTATTAGAAATCAATTACTACTCATTTGTTTTGTCTGTTCTGTCGAATCAATGTTTATGCATTTGATATTTGCCAGTTTTTTCTTTGTGATTTTTGAGTGGTTAAGATAATGAGCGTTTCTTGTCAGCCTGGCGACTTTGAAACGATTACCTAATCTTAAAGCGATGTTCAGGTAGTAGGCACTATTCGTTTTTCTCATGCTAACTTTTACAAGGCTTTGAGATTTAGGCACTATAGCTGACTTTAAAAATGGCACTTGTAGTAGAAGATGAATACTTTTCCTCAGCATACTGTACTACAGCAACTCTAGTGAGAAAAGAGACAAGGACTACAGTATCCCTGTTTGTCGGGACCGGTAGAGACTCGTTGACGGATCAAATATCGTTTATTCCAGCATGAGTACTCTTTGCAAATTGTTTGTTTCAAAATTGGGGCTACCAAAGCAACGCAAGCCAAATCATCCTTACAGTAGTCAAACAAAGTATTGTTAATTTCACTTGTTATTCTTTAAACTCTTGTCAATAGCTTTTTTCAGTTTTTCAGCTTTTTTTCAAGTTCTGAAAAACGGTGATTTTATGGTTTCAGGGCCAAAAATTTTTTGCTTCCATTATTTCAATATCTGCTTAAGCAATAAACAGAGCTAACAAGTTATAAATTATAGTATTTTATGATAAGCAAGCTATAAAATCCAGTGGAACAAATTAAATTCGAATAAAATTTCAAATGTTCTTTACCTTAATGTCTTCTTTCAAAGTTTTGATGCTTTTATGTTGCCATGTCTATCGGAGAGAGGAAAAAAAGGTAATTATCGAATGGAGAAGAATAGAATGAGTGGAGAGCCTGTTTCCATTAGGGAACGGCTCTATTTCTTTCTCTTTTTTTCAACTCACCACCTCTTTTTGCCCCTTTGATGCATTAACTTGCCCACCGTTCGCTTCTTCACCGATTCTTTTAGTAGAACTTTTGAAAGATCTGAAAAAACAATCATTTTACTAGAACAACCGGACTACCGTACCTTTCAAAAAAACGTTTTTCCTTCTTTTCTTGTTTAACCATTTTTCTTTCTTTGATACATTAACTTTTTTCAATCTTGTTTTCTTGTTTTTCTTGTTAATATCGTGCAAGGTATTTCACGAACTTTCAAAAAGTTCGATAAACTGTGTTTGGGTAACTGTTTAGAAAATCAAAGAAGCTTATAATTTTTAGTAAAATTTAGAGAGAAACAACAAAGCCAACAAAACAACAAAGCCAACAAAACAACAAAACAACAAAGCCAGGTCATCAACAAGCATTAGTCTGATTTTTGCTGCTTTGGTCCATCTATTTTTGAAACACGCACATTGTTTCAAAAAAAAAAACACTAACTACGAGGCTTAATTCAACCAAAAACTACGGCGAGTCGCTACTTTGCGCCAAATTTTTGCCTTGTCAACGGCAACTACGGTAATCCGCTTACTGTCTGTCTGATTTTTTGCACAACTCGCCATAACCTTCTTCTAAGTGAACCAATCTTTATGATTTTGATGTCATTTTGTTGCACTTATTGAGATTTACAAAATGACATCAAAATCATAAAGATTGACCGGCTTCGAAGAAAGTTATGGCAAGCAAATAAAATTGCGGAAATTAGCCTATCCCGAAATTTTTGCTTGATATGATGCAAATTTGTAAATAAATTCTCATTCTTAGAAGAGAAAGATAAACTGAGTGAATAGATTTGAAAATTTAATTATATACGAAACTTTTTGTGCTTTATCTTTTAACTATTGACATAAAGATAGATTTCTATAGAAGAAAAGGATCAAATCTGTTATTATTGAAAACTCGCTTCTTGAAATTTCTTAAAGAAAACTTTAAAAGACTTTAGACTACTTTAGAAGCATTTTTTAGAAAAAAGAAAGAAAGCTTTTCCATAAAATAAACCATTTGTCGATCGATTCATCGTTTCTAAAACGATCAATGAAGCTACAATACTTACTCTAGGTATTCAGTTAAAATTTAACTATATACGAAACTTTTTGTGCTTTATCTTTTAACTATTGACATAAAGATAGATTTCTATAGAGGAAAAGGATTAAATCTGTTATTATTGACAACTCGCTTCTTGAAATTTCTTAAAGAAAGCTTTAAAAGACTTTCTTAAAGAAAGCAAACTTTGTAGATCTCAATAAGTGCAACAAAATGAAACCAAAATCATAAAGATTGACCAACTTAGAAGAAAGTTATGGCAAGTTGCGCAAAAAATTTGGCGGAAACAGAAAGATAGACAGAAAGACAGACAGACAGACAGACAGTAAGCGGGTTACTGTAGCTGCCACCGACACAACTTTTAAAACTTTTTTGAAGGGACTGTTTTTGGCAAACGAACTTTTTGGGGTATGCAAAGAGGCTTGATATTGTGCTGTGTTAGCTCAATTTTGAAACAATCAATTTCATTATCTCGTAAAGATACTGTAAACAGTATACGATCTCTCCTGCTTTGCCCCATCACTTCCCCAATCGATAAGATTGGAATCTCGATTTATTCGCTGAAAGGGATTTGTGAGAGATCTTTTTGGATGGGGGATTCCAGTTCAGAGAAGGCGCTGCACCTTCTCCTCTGCCTCTTTTTCTTCTCCTCCTTGTCAGACTTTCAGACCTCTAACCCCCTTCTTTCCCTATTTTTTCATCCATCGAACATTTTCATTTCCTTTGCTGGCTTTGCTGACTTTTCTGGCTGAATTTTTCCTTTCTTTGCTGGCTTTGCTGCTGGCTTTTCTCTCCCCTTTATCCTGCCTGTCTGAAACTTTCTCAATCCCCGCTAGAATCGATAAGTCTATAGCGCTTAGGATAAGTCTATAGCGCTTTCTTCCGTAATTCCCGCTTTGCATTGAAATCTGGTAGTCGAAAGTGGATCAAAAATTTCAAAGTTTAATTCTCGATTTTCATTTCCAATTTTTTCCTTTAACAAGAACATTTATTTTTCACTAAAGCTACTTAGGCTTTTCAATATAAAATTTAAAAGAGAAAAGGCTTTCGCTTGAAAATTGGCTCTTCCATTTCGAGTTTTTCAAAATTGAAACTTCAATTTTTCAAACAAAACACTCAAAAAACAAAAATAGCTTTCAAATTGCTTATATTCAAGTGATTTTTCTCTTTTATTTTGTATCAAAGTGTAGTTATTTTTCGCAAAAACTACGCTAGATTTCGAGGTAAAATTTTAACTTTTAAACAAGGAGTTTATAAAAAGTTTGTTTCAAAATTTGGTTTAATTATCTCGAGCATTAGTTATTACCCTAAAGTCGCGAGTATAAGTTCTGTTTGGTTTTCGCATGCGAATTGACGGCTGTCTCCGGTGCGGTGTGTCGAGGGTTCGAACCCCGCTGCAGCTTAACTTTTTTGCTTTTTAAGAACAATAATAGAAGTAAATTTATTGAGGATTATAGTAATTTTATGCTGTTACTTGTTGCTCCGGGCGTGGCTCGGCGCGTCCGCTCTGCTCCTCTCCGGTGCTCAGTCTTATGGATCCCTCCCTGGCCTCTTCATCCGGCCAAAGTCCACGTCGACGGTCGAAAGAGATGCTTTCCAGCGTCTTCTTCAACACTATCGTCTGGATGTGTATCCATGCACATAACAAATAGCAATGGTGATAGGCTGTCACCCTGTAGTATCCCGCGCTCCAAGAACAATAATAAAAATGTATAAAAACCCAACAAAAAGAAATTCAAAGCAATTAAAGCGAATGTAAATTAAGGCAGAACTTATACTCGAGACTTTAGGGTAATTAAAAAAATGCCATAACTTATTGCAAAAGATTAAATTTTCGATTGGTTTAAAGAAAAGATTTTCAAATTTTCCCCATTTTCAAATTTGTCATTTTTTTTCGGAAGAAGAGGAAGATTTTCAGTAATTTGAACTTATAATTGCAAAACTGGGTACTCCTTTAGAGTGCGTTTAGATTGAAACTTAGCGATTAGCTAAATTTTAAACAAAGTTAGCTAATCGAAAAGCTAATCGAAAACTGGAAAATATAACGGCAAAACCCAAGAGCTGGTCGAGTCAATTTTGAAATAAAACTTTTCAAAAATCTTTTTCTTTTGACTTTAACACATTAGCAAAAACAGCAAACATTTGTACAGCAAAGATTTCAGAAAATTTGCTTAAAAGCCAAGTTAAAGCCAAGTTACTATAACTTTTCGAAAAAGCTTCAAAATTGATCTGATCGTTTACTAGCTTTTAATGTTAATATCTATTCAATTTACAATTTCAATAGTTTTAGTTTTTAGGGGAGTTTAATGAATGAATGTAATCATTGTTCCCCTTTCAATTAGCCCGTTTCCTCATTTGTCAGCTTTTTTTTTTGAGAGGAGCATATCCGACAGAGAAATGCCAAGTTCCGCTATAGGAAAAGTGATTTCCTTTTTGTGATTCGTGAACTATTTGCTTAAAGAACTTGTTTTTAAAGTTTTTCAATGTAATCGTTTCAAAAAAAATAATTTCCGTTTCAACTTTAGCAAAGATTAATTCCTCTTTTTGAGTGTAGTCGTGTTGAGTCCAGTATACTAAATTCTAATGATAATCTAAGTGAATTAGTGCTCGGGGAATCAAGTTCTAACTCTTGCTGCTTTAGATATTCTTTTGATTAATAGTTTCAAAAAAATTAATACCATATTTTCTCTAATAGTAGTGCACCCTAGCGAGCCGAGTTGGTGACTATTTTACGGTTTCAAAGCTTTTGCAGAAGCTCAACACTCTAATCCCCCACTAGATCTCATCGTCAGCTACATTTTCCGACCCCACATCGATAGGTTCTGATAAGCGGTTCTCGAGATTTCAAAGAATTGAGCAGACGCTCAGGATGCACTACTATTAGAGAGAAGACAGTATGTTATTCCAGGTTAGGCTAGTAGTTCAGACTGATCTATTTCCCTAATATTTCCGGGTGAGCCGAATTGATGACGATTTTACAGTTT